CTCAATTTTACTTTAAATTTTGTCAAAGTTTTCTGGTCTTTTATCTCCGAGTATAATTTATTATATTCAATCAACCCTTGATGGAATACAGATTTGTAGCATATGTTATACTTTTTGGTCATTAAATGGAAGTAATCTTTATTTCTGGTATTATGTAAATGATGGTCGACATTTGATGATGTTAAATTAGTTAGACTTGATGGAAATATATTATTTTTTACTTTATAAATGAATATCATTACTAGATATTTGATAAAATTTTTTACATTGAGCCATTCTAATTTGCTAAGCATTTGCCTAATTGGAGTATATTTATCTTTATTTAGTATTATTCTCATGCACTTATTTTGTAAAATTTGCAGTCTTTCAAAAATGGAATTATTTGCTAAATATAGAGTAGTCGAACAGTACAAGAAATTTGGAAGAATGATGGTATTATAGATAATGTTTCTGCTATATGAACTCAGACATCCAGAAACTCTCGATAAATATCCCACTTATCTTATTTATAACTTTTTCATAATGAATATCAAAAATTAATCGAGAGTTAACAAAAAACCCCAGGTATTTAAAACTTTCTACGAATTCAATATCTTCACCATCAATATTCAGTTGAATATTTGTACCTTGTTTTTTTTCCGATTAACAAGGCTTTCGTTTTACTTGCATTTAATTTTAGTCTGTTAGATGCTAACCATTTTCAGACAAGATTCAAGTCTTCATTTATATAAGAGATACCAGACTGAATATTTTTAGTACTTATATAAATCATAGTGTCATCGGCGAAAATCTGAATTTTGCATTTTTTGACTATGGCAGGTAAGTCATTTAAGTATAAAATAAAAAGAAGTGGTCCCAGGATACTGCCCTGTGGAACACCCAACGTATTTTCAATTTTTGATGAAATAGTGTCATTAACTTTTGTAACTTGCATCCTTTTAGACAAATAATTTCTAAACCAATCTAAAACACTTCCTGTTATACCATATGCCTTCAATTTACCTAACAAAATATCTCTATCAATCGTTTCAAATTCCCTCTTCAAATCCAAAAATACTGCTATGACAACTTCTTCTGAGTCTATGGCTCTTCTCCAATTCTCAGTTACCAACTGGAAAGCCGTTTCTGTGGAATATTTTTATCGAAAGCCTTCTTGCGCCTCCACTAAAATTTTGTTTTCTTCTATAAATTGAATTAATTGGTCATGCACTATGGACTCTAATAATTTTTCAATGTCTGGTAACACATTTACTGGTCTCATATCGCTGCATTTTTTAAATTTTTTATTTTGGGAACTGGCGTAATTGTAGAGCATTTCAAATTTTCAGGGAAAGAACTGCTTCTCAGTGAACAATTGATCCAATTTAATACAGGATATCCCAAAATTTCGAAACAGTTTTTCAGCACGTTTTTAGTAGTCATTTCGGCACAGTTGTTATTTGATTTTAAACTGTTTACTTTTTTTCTTAGATAATTCAATGATACGCTGTGAAATTTTGAAAGTGTATGCAACATTTCCCCCTGAAAACTGATTTTCATATAGTCAGGCAGTACCCACAATATCAACAATACTTTCCACAAAATATTCATTTAGTTTGTTTGCAATCACCAAAGAATTTGTTTCGGTACCGTTTTCGAATTGAACTTGATGTACACAATCATGCGTCTTCGAATTGATCAGTCTTTTTAAAGTCTTCCACATATTTACACTGTCGCACTTGTTATTATCGATTTGTTTATCGTAGAATTTCCTTTTTTCTTCTCTAATTACATATACACATTTACTCCTAAGAGTTTTATATACCTCCCAATCATCATTTGATTTTGTGAATATACATTTACATTTATAAAGGGTGTCTCATAAATATTTTCTTATTTTATGCCATAAATAAAAATACTTAGAATATTTTTACAAAGATAAATTTATTACCAAACGAAAGCCTAAACATTAATTTTATTTATGGAAAAGAGTATCGGATAAATGAGCACCGTTCATGTTTTCACACTCTCTTAATCTCGAACTGAAGTTTTCGATCACTCTCCGAAGCATTGCTCGAGGAATGGCGTTTATTTCATCTGTTATTGTTTGCTTCAACTCTCTCAAATCTTGTGGCGGTGGGGTGTATACCTTACTCTTCAGGTATCCCCATAAGAAAAAATCTGCTGGTGTCAAATCGGGACTTCTCGGTGGCCAGTTAATGTCTCCTCTGCGACTGATGACCCTCCCTGGGAATAACTGATGAAGAGCATCCAAGGATTCATTCGTGACATGAGAAGTCGCTCCATCTTGCTGGAAAAACGTGTTTCTATTGTAGCCACCATGGTTCTGTATAGCTGGAGTTAAAAAAGTCCTAATCATGTGGCAGTAGCGCTCAGATGTTACAGTTTGAGCTTGGCCACGATTGTCTTCAAAAAAATACGGGCCAATGATTCCTTGCCCTGACATAGCAGCCCAGACGATAACTTTAGGCGAGTGTAATGGCGTCTCATGAAGATTTTGCGGGTTCTGCTCGGCCCAATATCGGCAGTTTTGTTTATTAACATGCCCGTTAATGTGAAAATTCGATTCATCAGAAAACCATATGTTGTTGTAACCGTTAAAATGCTCTCTCATTGTTCTACAGAACTCTAATCGATTAGCGGGATCTTGTGGTTTTAATTGTTGTGTAACAACAATCTTGTATGGGTGAAAATGCAAATCCTTGCGAATAATGCGATGAACAGTTGACTTATGCAAAGTTAGAGACGCTCCACGCAGTCTGAATGATTGCCGGGGATCCTCGTTAACGGTCTGGCGCACACGTTCAATATTTTCGTTCGATCTTGCTGACCTTGGCCGTCCAGGCGGTTTACTAATACACGTGTTTCCAGTGCTCTCGAACTTTCTTACCCAATATTTAATTAAATTTGCGCTTGGGACATCTCTCATTCTTGCTATGTTATAATGATTTCTGTACAAACGACGTACAAGCACATAAGAATCCTTGTTTTTATAGAACTCGCGAACACAAAAAGCACGTTGCGGCCCTGTAAAACGCTCCATTGCAACTAAAATTTAACAATGTTGCCAAACGTTTGTCAACTGTCTCGTTTCTCCGGAGCATGCGTATTCCGCCAGAGGACTGATCTAAAAACGAAAATATTTCTGAGACACCCTTTATATACGTTTGTCTCTCGCCAATTCATCTAATAGTCTTGATCCTCCTAATTGCAATCTTCTTGGTAACCAACTTCTTGCCCAACATGAGTTTCGTTTTCTTCTCTCCATTTTTGAGAGTTTGCTTCTTCAAAAAGCTCATCGCATATAAAGCCGCGTACAGACCTAAAATCCAACATGTGTCGTTGGCGTTTGTTGTTGGAAGGTATTGGAATGCGCTCGTCTTCCAGGCGAATTTAGTTCGAACACCAATTTTTAAAGCTCCAAATCTCTTAGATAAATCTGTAATGCACACATATTATACTAAGTGACATATAAATCCGAACACCCAGTTTAAATGGTTTTATTTTAATAAAAGTTGGTGAATGTATTTATCTTACTGTAAATAACAAGTGAAAAAATGTTCAGCCTTATCAGTTGGACATTCCGGTTTTTATACTGCTTTTTTTTAATTCACTAACGCTCTAAAAATGAATATTTCAGCCGCAGTAAAGAATCAACGTTGGCGGATTTTGGTTCTTGACATCCTTTACGATCGGCTTCGATGCCTAGAGTACGGAGACCTGTACGATTTCGTCAACTTAGTGAGTTTGATAGAGGCCGTATATTAGACTTCGGGAAGCTGGACTTTCTTTTCGGGCAATTGCAGTTAGAGTGCAAAGAAGTGTAGACACTGTGGTTAGGTGTTGTCAGGCATGGCTTCGAGAAGATTATTGGCCTTAAGGGACCGTTTCTCCACTACCAGGTCCATTGCAAATGAATGGTTTGCAGAACACGGAAGACCTATTGGCATGCGAAGTGTTTACCGACGAATGAGAAGTTTTGGCTTGTTTTCATACTGGCCACACTGGGTCCTCCCTTTAACTCGAGAACACCGACGTAATCGCCTTGAGTGGTGCAGACAACGGTCACTCTGGGATCAGGAATGGAACAGTATTGTCTTTAGTGACGAGTCTCGATTTTGTTTAGGCATGCCCGATGTTCGTGCCAGAGTTAGAAGGCGACGTGGTGAAAGGAGGAATCCACAGTTTTTTGTTGAAAGACATGTTCATCACACTGTTGGAGTTATGGTTTGGGGTACTATAGCTTATGGTTCCAGGTGACCTTTAATCTTCATCAGAGGTAACATGAATGCGCAGCGTTATATCCACGAAGTTCTAGAACCCCATCTTTTACCCTATCTTGACACCCTGACAGATCCAACTTTCCAACAAGATAATGCCCGACCACATGTTGCAAGAGTCACAATAGACTTCTTTCAACATAATGATGTCACATTGTTACCATGGCCACCAAGATCTCCCGACTTATCCCCAATTGAGCACGTGTGGGATATGATGGGTAGGAGATTGCTCAATTTGCAACGTCCTCCTCAGACTCTAGAAGCACTTCGAGAGGAGTTGGTGGTTGCCTGGAATCAGATACCACAGGAGGAGATTGACCACCTGATCAGAAGCATGCCTAGGCGCGTTGGAGAATGCGTAGCACATCAGGGTGCATCCACACATTATTAAAGGTCAAAGGGCTTTAAAGCAGTGCAATCATTTTGAAATGTTTGTCATTTACTTATTATGCTTCATTAAGTACTTATACAAAATTTTATTAAAATAAAACCATTTAAACTGGGTGTTCGGATTTATATGTCACTTAGTATATCTTGCTTTTAGTAAAATAAATTATCTTTAGGATCTGTAGAGTTCAGTGCAGTAACGAAATAATTCTATTAGTACAGAACTCGACCTCTGGATTGGGTAACGCAAAATAGTAGGATGCTGGCATAGAAAGCTGCAACAATACTAACGGAAAGTTGCCTACGGCCAGTAAAGAGGAATAAAACAATGAATTAGAAAAAAATATTTATTTACATTTCCACCGAAAAGGGAAAAGGGATTATCTCCATAAAAATTATATACAGTAACTGGGTTGGCGCTTTTAATTTAAGCACTTCCTGCATAACCTATATAATTACAATATTTACATACTCACAGCTCAATGGAAATATTCGTAAAAACTAACATGTATCAAAAAAGCTGGTATTCAACTCACCAAATGTTAACATTATTGATACGGATAAAGTAAGTGAAAAAAATGTCGAGATACAAAGTTACTCTATATTTAACACGTATTAATATTCTACAACAAAAATATATTTATTCTTAACAGCTTAGTGTATGCAGTTGTTTTGTTTTATCAAAAAACATACACACCACTGTGGATATCTGCTTTATTTATTTGAGGTAGCTATGAAAATTATATTAGAGATGCTGTTGCAAGACGAATACAAATCAGTATTTCAGAAAAGTAAACTTTAGCAAATAATAGGAAGTGTCTCATGACAGTGTTGGTAAAATGTTGTCTAGAAAAAACACAAGTATAAAAATAAAAGTATGTTTTTTTTATACTTGGAAATTCATATTCATTTTACTTTTTCTAGGTGTTACTTAGCGAAGGCATCATGAAAACCTTATATTTTTATTCGTAACGCAACTATAATTCCGTGATTTCTTCAAGCAACAGTCAACATACCAACACCGTCCTTACGGTATTAAAGCTAATGCTATCTGAAGTATCTGGAAAATTCCTAAATATATAAATTTAAACTTAAGTCATTTATCTAAATTTTTGGTAAAGTACAAGGTTCTTACTTCGAAACCATTTAAAGCTGTCCGATATGGCGTCGATCAACCAAACAAAAAAGACAAGAAAATTGAAAAAATGCTCCTACCCCAAGTAGTTCGAACCTGCAATATCATCATCGCTAAATAAGTCGTCCATAGAAGGTATGATCTTTTCCAGATCAAAACTTTCCGCACTCAGCTCATCTAAATTAAAGTCGAGCATCTCCAATTCCTCGTGATGTGATGGTCAAGAGATCTGATCGGCTGGTAACAAGTGTTTACAATCCTCCACAAGAACGCAAGCGCCAAGGTCAAATATACGAGCAAGTTTATCAGCGGAAATGTCCATATAAACTCCGTTAAGTTCAACCTGTAAATAAATAAAGCACTATTACGATCTCAATACTAATGTATACAAAAATCTAAATATCATGTACCAAAGCTGCTCAACCCACGATCCACATACACTGAAGATAGGATGTTGCGCATGTGGGCGGAGCTTCGTGACGTCACCCAGAGAGTTGTCGGCGCGTGGTTACCAGTGGCAGGATTGTCGTAACGTTACTGCAGTGCACGTGTATCTAGGTTAATACTATACAGGGTGTTTCAGTTTATTGTTGCATAACTTTAAGATTCGATAGAACTTTTAAAATTAATGCATAAAGTCTATATAAACATGGGTCGAAAAATGCGTGGCTTCCGAAATACAGGGTGTTTAAATTTACTTTCTAAAATAGTTTTTTTTTAATATTTTGAACAATATTCGATGTATAACAGTGGAAATTGGTATACACGGGTTTTTTGGTACGACAAAACGAACCATGGGCATAGTTTTACTGTAGCCGCTAGATGGCACTCTCTACTGTACCTGTATTAAAATGATCGAAAATTTTTTCTTAGTGTTTTTGAATAAAAAAACTGATTCTTCGCACTTTTCAACATAAAAAAGCTCTCTTGTGAATTTTCGTTATAGTTAGCCGTTTTTGAGATATTTCGATTTTTAATTATTTATGGGAAAATAATATTTTTTTTTACACTTTCGATTTGGGCATTACAAGTAATTAAGATGATCGTTTAGATTGTGTTTTTAAACACAGCAATAATTTCTAACTCCAAATAAACACCAAAAAAACAGAATATTAATTTGTTTAATTTTCCAGTATTATTTTTAACAAATTAAATTAATTATTTATAACTAAAATGCTATTGGATAGTTAGGACAAACATACAAAATCTAAAGTAGTTGCTCGAAATGTAAACCCAATTGTTCAATACACAATTCACATCTACGAATGATCGAACGTGGTATAGCATTATTCAAATAAGGCCTTATTTCATCACATGCGGAAGCTACGCATTTTTCGACCCATGTCTATATAGACTTTATGCATTAATTTTAAAAGTTCTATCGAATTTTAAAGTTATGCAACAATAAACTGAAACACCCTGCATAGTGCGCGATTTGTTGGTGCGTTTGTGACTTGGTGTATTAGTTATACATACTTTATATACCCTGTGATGTTAGTAAATTGATAAAAATGCGGTGTGCTGTTGTGGGATGTAATTCCGACAACCAATCTAAACTGAAACCTTGAAAGACATGAAGTTCCACAGTTTTCCTCAAGACCCAAACCTTAGCAAAAGATGGCTACATCATACAAAAAGTAAAATCAAAGTCAATATAAAAAGCGCTAGGGTTTGCTCGAAGCACTTTAGTGAAAGGTCATACCCTTTTGGGTATAAAAGAAAAGAAAATAAATCGGTACATTTCTACATGTACGTACTATTTACAACACCCTGTACGTGATATAAGAGACAAAACTAGATTGCCATGCATGGACAGTGAAACATCCCATTAAAAATAGCTAGAAAATTGACCTATTATTTGTCACATTTAAATATTAACCGTCTTTTGTGAAACTGGAAATTCTATGAAAGTTATCTTAATTCTAATACTCAAAGACATAATATTACATCTATATTGCACCCCTATATATAAAGCAACTGCTTTTTCACGATTTTATTCAATATTTCAATAGAAATTAGCGATATTAGGAGAGCTTTGACAGCTTCCGTCAAATTGCATTTCGATAAGCTGCTCCCTAATTGGTCGAAGACCCCGTTAGATTTAAATCTTTGTTAAATCGGTCCTTAGGCAATTAAAAAATCGGATTTTTCGGCGGTTTATTTGGGATCCTCATAGCAGCCTCAGTGCCCTGGCTTAGGCTGTAACAGTTGCCATTACAAACTGTCATCGATGCCCAAAAGATTTTTCTTTGCTGGTTGTATCTACTTGGCATTTTGATGGTATAATTGGGACGATATGGTTTATTTGTGCTCAATTCTAAAATCGGATTTGAGTTTCCGTAACAGTCCCCTCCAAACCCACACGTATGTCAAAGAATTTGTCTTTCATTCTTTCCGAAAAATGTTCCTACGAATTGAAAATCAACTCACTTTGGTCTTGATATTGTGTAAGAACAACGGCTCCTCCTCCGTGCCATAATAACTGTACGGATCCATCTCCACAGCAGGCGGTTCCACTTCGGCTTCTGACCGCTGGTGCGGCGTCGATGTGGACTTTTTGGCAACGTTCCGACCGAACGTGCTCGACGAGGCCGATGAAGAGTCTTCCTCCTGGAGGCCCGCGTCTGCGGGAGCCGGACTGGACGTCGTCGTTGCCGGTAGAGAGATGTCCACCACTTCCGCCGTGCTCACCACGCTCTGCCATACCTCGTGCATGGCCTCGCTTACTTCTGTCTTTATGCTTTCGGGCATTTGCGGATGAAACTTACGTTGGTGTTCACTGGCTTCCGCTCGTCTCGAGAAACTGGAAAGAGAGGAGTAGATTGGCTCGGTACGAACTACGCTCTCATTTAGATACACTTTTTAAATTTGCCATATGTAAACATTGACAATCCGGCAGGGTTATTATGTAAAAATCGACAAAATGTCAACTTGGTGATTAGATAGCTCCTGACTTTGCTGCAAGTCAGTTCGCCGTCATGCTTTGTTGGTTGAAGAATGCCAAGATAGTATATAGAGTGTATCTCTGAAAAGATGTGACAGAAAGGATCATTATGAATACATTATTTCAAGAATTGCCAAAAAACAAATTACTTTAATAGGGTATTCGTACATTTTCCAATGAGCGAATTGAGCGGAGATCAGAAAAATCGTCGTTTTGACGAGTAGTCTGGTCGTCTTCTCGAGCGGATTGTGACATGTGATGAAAAGTGGATTCTCTACGGCAACAGGCGACCTTCTGCATCATGGGTGGACGAGGCTTTTACATCTTTACAACTCTTCCCGAAGCCGAAACTCTATCCAAAAGAAGGTTATGGTCGTCCACCGACTACCACTTTTTCAAACTCCTCGACAACTTGCTTCGCGAGAAATGCTTCAATAATCATGACGACGCCAAAAATGCCTTCAATGAGTTCATCGCTTCCAGAACTGCGGATTTCTACGTTAGCGGCATTAATAAACGTGTTTCTCGTCGGCAAAAGTGCACTGATCCTAATGGTTTTTATTTTGATTAATAAAGTTTTGTTAAAGCTGATATATGCTCCTTTGAATTTGAAGGTTAAAAACCGCAAGAACTTTCCGAACAACCTAATAAAATGCAAACTTTTATAAAGGGTTGTCCAATAGGGACGCAGGAAAGTAAACGTCAATTTGACATAGACGCCATCTTTGTTTTCTGTCACCGACATGTCATTTTGTTAGTTGAATGTTTACCATTGATCGCTATGGAGTCGTATTCGATTGAAGACCGCATTAAAGTTATTCAAGAGCACTACAAAAATGGTGCAAAAATAAAAAACACGTTTCGCGCGCTTCGTGAACATTTCGGTCGCAACAACCGCCCAAACGAAACAACCATCGGTCGTCTGGTGCGTAAATTCGAGGCAACAGGTTCTGTGGCAAATCTGCCAGGCTCTGGCCGGCCAAGGAGCGTTCACACACCGGAAAATATTGCTGTTGTGAAGGAGAGTGTGAGAGACGATCCGAAACAATCAACAACGCGTCGATCCCAAGAATTGGGCATTTCGAGAACCAGTTTGCTCCGCATTCTCCACAAGGATTTGAATGTACACGCCTACAAGATCCAATTGACGCAAGAGCTGCGTCGGGCCGACCATTTTTCGTGCCGAACGTTCTCAGATTGGCTCCTTGAACACCGCCAAATTGATGCCAATTTTTCATCAAAAATCATGTTCAGCGACGAAGGGCATTTTACTTTGAATGGGACGGTAAACAAGCAAAACTGTCGCATCTGGGGGAACGAAAAATCCCCATGAGTATCAAGAGCAGCCGATGCATCCTCAAAAAGTGACTGTGTGGTGTGCATTGTGGTCAAAAGGCATCATCGGACCTTACTTTTTCGAAACTGCGGCCGGGGACGCCGTTAACGTCAATTCTGAGCGATATCACGTGATGATACAGGACTATTTTTTGCCGCAACTTGAAGGAATGGATATGGACGATGTTTATTTCCAACAGGACGGTGCAACATGCCACACAACCACCGTCAATATCCATTGATTGCAGTCCTTCTTCGGTGATCGCGTGATTTCGCGCAGAGGAAATGTGCCATGGCCACCAAGATCGTGCGATTTGACTCCCTTGGACTTCTTTTTATGGGGATATTTGAAAAGCAAAGTCTACGTCAACAAACCAGCCACCCTCCAAGAACTCAAAAACAACATCATTGCCGAGATAAATGCCATAGAACCGACCATGTTGCAAAATGTCATTGAAAATTTCGACCATCGCGTGGACGTCTGTAAATCCAGTCGTGGTGAACATTTGAGCGATATTATTTTTCATACATAAATGGTATAAATGAACCTTCAAAATAAAGTACCCAACTTGATTTGAATATCAATCTTTCTTGTTTTAATATGCGTTTACTTTCCTGCCTCCGTTTTGGACAACCCCATATAACAATCAGACGTTAAAATTGTTGACCTATCTTATTGCGATATAAAGAATTTTTCAATTACCCATCCCCATGATATTTGGTTTATTTTAAACTATAGCGTGAAGTTACCCTCTCTTTGATCGATGTTGAAGTGCTATGTATTATCCAAAACGGTAAAACTCTTACCAATGTAAGACTCATTTTCCCAATGGTCATATATTATTCAGTACCTTCAATTTAAATTGACTGTGAGCAGTTTTCAGACAGTAATAGTAAATGTTTATAAAAGATAACACAGTACAATGAAAAGCGTCAAACTATACTCACATTTCGTCACACATAACGCACTTGAACAGCTTGAAATGCGTGCGTAGGTGAGACCGCACATTGTTCAGGAACTCCGGTCCGCATACCCGGCAATAACTGCACATCGGACACTGGTACCGTTTCGTCTGCTTAGGGTATGTGACGTGTCGTAAACGTTTCGTGGCAGCAGAAAGGTTGAAGTCCCAACCAACCAGCTTCTCCTTTACAGATTCGTAACGTATCGGGTACTGCATGTGGACTCGCTGACTGTGCATCTTTAGGCCGGCCATTTGAAGGAACTTGCGAGGACAGTACGCACAACTGAATCTGGAACAAAAGTCAAAAATAAGCTATGCTACATCAATCGACCATTCGCAAAACATGATAAAACCAGACTTTACAATTATTCCGGGAAAATTTGCTAATTACTGGACAACAAATCTTAGTTTTTTAATTGTATATGTATGTTGTGGGAAAAGTGCACTTCTTTGTTAATTTTGGGGCGCTGAATCCAAAAATGACAATGAAATAAAAAAATTAGTTGCGGTTTAAAAAAAAACTTTTTATTTTTAAGGATATATCAAAAAAGTAACAAGATTCATATACTTATAAGAATCACTATATGCGCTGTCTTTTTGCTGTTCTTTTATGGATCGTTTCTGGAGCATCTCTACCAAGAGTCCAACAGTAGTCTGCAAGCATGGAAGGATTCCACTTTCCCTGGTACCTTTTTTCATTGTTGAAATATCCTGATGAAAACGTTCGCCGTGCTCAACACTTACGGCTCCGCAATTGTCAGGAAAAAAGTCCAGGTGTGAGTGTAGGAAATGTATCTTAAGAGACATATTACAGCCCATCTTTTGATACGATGACAGCATATTTTTGACAAGGGTTTTATAGTTGTCAGCTTTTCTATTTCCCAAGAAATTAGTGACCACCAGACGGAAATCATTCCAAGCAATTTTTTCAATACTTGTTAAAGTGTTTTCAAACTGTGTATCTTTCAAAATATTTCGAATCTGTGGCCCAACAAAAATACCTTCTTTAACCTTTGCCTCACTTAGTCTTGGAAATTTCTGACGCAGGTATTGAAAAGCTGACCCATCTCTATCTAATGCCTTGACGAAGTTTTTCATTAGGCCCAACTTGATATGCAGTGGTGGTAATAAATTTGTTTTCGAATCTACTAATATCATATGCTGTACATTTTTTTGACCTGGCTATAGAAATTGACGAACAGGCCAGTTTTGTCTGGTGTAATGAAGTGCCTTTGCCCGACTGTCCCATTCACACAAAAAACAGCAAAAGTTTGTGTAGCCTAGCTGCAGCCCAAGTAAAAGTGCAACAACTTTCAAATCGCCACAAATATGCCATTGGTGCTCATCGTATTTTATGCATGTCAATAGGTACTTCATATTGTCATATGATTCTTTCATGTGAACTGCATACCCTACGGGAAGAGATGGTAAAATATTTCCAATATGCAATAACACTGCCTTTAAACTCAATGTTGAACTGTCTATAAACAATCTCCATTCTTCTGGGTTATAGTTTATATTTAAAGCCGCCAGTAAGCCGTTAATGTTACTGCAGAAAACCAAGTTATTCTCCATATTGAAAAATGGTTCTAAGTCTTTGTGGCGTTTACGAAAAACACATACCGAAACATCGTCTTCTAACAAGTTCCACTGCTGCAGTCTTGATCCAAGTAACTCTGCCTTACATTTTGGAAGTTCTAAATCTCTTACAAGATCATTTAATTCTGACTGTGTTATTTTGTGGGGTTGGTGGCATGACGTGCTCGGTATAAAATCAGGATCTCTTGACGTTGATGGCATATCTTCTTCCTGACAAATCATTCGATCGCCATGATCTGATTCGTTTTCTGATTCGCAAGTGTAGGATTCTGGGGGTTTTGGAATAGGATTTTCGTCACTGTGAGGCACAGGTCTCATCGCAGATGGTATGTTTGGGTAGTTAATAACCGATTTTTTTTTCTTGGACATACCTGTGGCTTGTCCAACACAAGGTACCATGCAAAAGTAACAATGATTAATATGATTTGTAGGCTCTCTCCAAACCATTGGGACAGCAAAGCGCATAGACCGTTTTTTGCCATTTAACCAGCTCCTCAGACTTGAGCACATGTATTACAGCAGATGTGGGGTGCCCACTGTTTGTCTTGATCACCTAGTTTACAACCGAAATAAAGCTGACATGCCTTTGTTATTAGTGGAGTAATAGACCGTCTCTGAGAAGCAAAAGTCACATTACCACACACGTAACAAAACTGATCTGGATTGTTTACACACTTTCGAGACATCTTGCATGAACGCTGTCAGCCAACTGAGGAAAAAATGGCTAATATAAAACAATATAATGTACACGTATGTATAACGTAACACAATCATGCCGATTACATCATCTTTCCTTGCCGAATATAAAAATGTAGCACTTCCACTCTTGTAAATTACAGTATATTAACACTGTCACAGCAGGAACACATATAATTACCGTATCTTTAAAACTTGAACTAATATTGAAAAAATAAGTTTCATTCCGGTTTTAGCACATTAAAAATAGTAATATTTTGTTGATTTTATGTAGGATATTTTTTGGCTGTTGATCAGTGTATGATTAGACTATATTATTATAATCAGCACTCACCTATAAATATTAAACTTCCTTCCTGGATGTGCTTGCATGAAATGCTTCCTGATCCGTATCTCGTCGCCCGCTTCGTCGCACCACTGGCACGCCACGTAATCGTTGCTGTTCTCTTCGCATTTCAACGTGTTCAAAACCTTAAGCTTGCCGTGACCAAAGTGCACGTCTCGGATGTGCTGTTCGGTGACCGTTTCCGAATCCGACATGAACACGCATGTCTCGCAACAGTACGCGTCACCGATGATAGGTACTACCGCTTCTGACGTTTTGCTAACAGCCATCAGGTCAGCGGGGGTCGGAGCAGGTTCGTCTATCTCCAACGGATCGGTGAGGTCGGATTCACCAATTGGCGCGGTGTCAAAGAGAGCCTGCAACACCAAAAAGAATAGCCTACGTACAGTTGGTTTCATTTTCGAAAATCATGCATGGTGTTGAAGCATGTAACTGTTGTTAAATCCAATTATTCGTCAGGACTGCTTCATCGAAAGTATTTTTTTACTATTATTACTTCTATAGGGTTGTCCAAAAGGGACGCAGGAAGGTAAACGCATATTAAAACAAGAAAAATTGATATTCAAATCAAGTTGGGTACTTTATTTTGAAGGTTCATTTATACCATTTATGTATGAAAAATAATATCGCTCAAAAGTTCACCACGACTGGATTTACAGACGTCCACGCGATGGTCGAAATTTTCAATGATATTTTGCAACATGGTCGGTTCTATGGCATTTATCTCGGCAATGATGTTGTTTTTGAGTTCTTGGAGGGTGGCTGGTGTGTTGACGTAGACTTTGCTTTTCAAATATCCCCATAAAAAGAAGTCCAAGGGAGTCAAAACGCACCATCTTGGTGGCCATGGCACATTTCCTCTGCGCGAAATCACGCGATCACCGAAGAAGAACTTCAATCGATGGATATTGACGTTGGTTGTGTGGCATGTTGCACCGTCTTGTTGGAAATAAACATCGTCCATATCCATTCCTTCAAGTTGCGGCAAAAAATAGTCCTCTATCATCACGTGATATCGGTCAGAATTGACGGTAACGGCGTCCCCGGCCGCATTTTCGAAAAAGTAAGGTTCGATGATGCCTTTTGACCACAATGCACACCACACAGTCACTTTTTGAGGATGCATCGGCTGCTCTTGGTACTCACGGGGATTTTCGTTCGCCCAGATGCGGCAGTTTTGCTTGTTTACCGTCCCATTCAAAGTGAAATGCACTTCGTCGCTGAACATGATTTTTGATGAAAAATTGGCATTAATTTAGCGGTGTTCAAGGAGCCAATCTGAAAACGTTCGGCGAGAAAAATGGTCGGCCCGACGCAGCTCTTGCGTCAATTGGATCTTGTAGGCGTGTACATTCAAATCCTTGTGGAGAATGCGGAGTAAACTGGTTCTCGAAATGGGATCGACGCGTTGTTGATTGTTTCGGATCGTCTCTCACACTCTCCTTCACAACAGCAATATTTTCCGGTGTGCGAACGCTCCTTGGCCGGCCAGAGCCTGGCAGATTTGCCACAGAACCTGTTGCCTCGAATTTACGCACCAGACGACCGATGGTTGTTTCGTTTGGACGGTTGTTGCGACCGAAATGTTCACGAAGCGCGCGAAACGTGTTTTTTATTTTTGCACCATTTTTGTAGTGCTCTTGAATAACTTTAATGCGGTCTTCAATCGAATACGACTCCATAGCGATCAATGGTAAACATTCAACTAACAAAATGAAATGTCGGTGACAGAAAACAAAGATGGCGTCTATGTCAAATTGACGTTTACTTTCCTGCGTCCCTATTGGACAATCCTTTATAACCTATTATATTTTTGGTTGGCAAAAATTTCAGATGTAGATTATACAGGGTGTAAATGTCATGATAGTCTAATTTAAGGTTAGGCAGTTTTTGATTGTGTCTATAAGCTTGCAATTTCCTTTACCTTAAATTTGTCCGGATCAATAATCAGCTCCATTTGACTATTGTTTCTGATCACCGAAACTTCTTTTGGTTGTTCTTCCTCCCGGTTTTGAACTCCAAATTGGGTACTTTCAGAAGCACTAGTATTTTCCGCCCCTTTACTTTGGACCACTTCTTGTAGCTGCTGAATCCATTTGTCAACTGTCTCGGTAGAGACAGAATTGAGATCCAGGTCTTTCGGAGCAGTGTCCTTTGGAAGAACATCACGGCTCTCTGTCTTGAGAAGTGGTTTAGGTGAATCCAAGACGATCACATGAGACTTTTCGTTCGCCTTTACTTCATCCATGTGCAAACCATCATTGTACTGTAGGTCCAGGCTGATAGTCGGTGCACATCGGATCACGTTATCAGATGAACCTATGATAATTGAAAAATAGTTGAAGGTTTAAAAACAAAAATTTCTACGCATATCATGCGTAAAATTTAACAGTGGCACTTGTGAGCACCATGGTTCTGATAAAAACGTTGCTTTTGATAGATGCCATAATTACTGAATATATTGTATCGTGTTTTCTAATAGGGACTTGACAACTTTGAACTTTCACTGTGAACGCACCATTAAATCAATTACCGAACTGTCAACGTCAAAACATTCATTAAAGAAAACATTTTCATCATGGTGAAGTACACGAACGAACAACGCTTTCAGATAATAAATTCCGAGTCGGTGACAACTTTAAGAGCGTTAACGAGAATTTTTGGTCGTAATTCTCGTCCCAGTAGACAAGCAATTCATAGTCTAGGAAAAAAATTTGAGTCCACATATTCGTTGCTGGATGTTCCCGTGCCAAGAAATGGGCATCGCTCAGACCACACTATGGCAAGATATTGTTAAAAAAATACTTACTTCTATGAACCGTCTCTAAATGTTTCTCCACGTAGTTTTTGCTGTAAGATGAGTACTGACACATATCACACTTATACGGCAACAAGCTCCAATGGAACATGGTATGTTCATTCCGCTCTGCTTCCGATTTAAACCTATAGAAAAAGCAAATGCAAACCTTTAAGACTATTCACAAACGAAACCTCATATTCAGCATTTTATTTTGTCATGTTAACTTCAAAAAAGCAGTCGTAATACTAGTTAACATTGTAACACTTCAACCCTATCCCGTCGTTGTCATGATGATAGGGCAAATAAAAATATTGTCTGCTCTCCGTTGTAATGATGACTGCTAAAAAGCATGAAACAACGTTTTATGCGGTTGATTATACAGGATGTCCGGTAAATAGTACGACAAAAAAATAGGGACGATAGGCGAAGGGCAAATCTACAACATACCAAAAAATGACCCTAGTAAAAGTTTCACTGTTTTTGAGGTATTAATTTTTTGTATCTCTTTTTTTGCTGTCTGGACATAACAGGATAAAAATGTACTAGACGCTACTGCAAAGTACTGCGATAAATTACCTGCTTAATCAGCAACAAAACATAGATCAAACGATGAAATTTTCCGAAAAAGACAAAATTAATATCTCAAAAACAGTGAAACTTTTACTAGCATCATTTTTTGGTATGTTCTAGGTCTGCCTTTCGTCTATCTTCCCCATTTTTTTGTCGTACTATTTACACAAAGACGGAAAGCAAACAGATCCCATTCAACGTAGTTTGTGCAACTATTGCATAGTACGCCAAAGATGGTAAGATAGTGAGTACTTAGTACTCCCCTGGGGTACGAGACGCCTATGTGGTGGGCGACACTTGACCGTTCCATCACGAATTCGAACTAGGTCGGAGTCAGTCAGGGATTTGTTTGTCTCATAATTATAATTGTTATACGTCTATAGTGAAGACCAACATGCACTTGAAACAAGTCAATTTTTTGAGAGTTCTGTCATTAAAATCGTATATTTGGTGTTATTTTTGGAAAGTGCTAGTGTTTGCCGCTAATAGGCGACATGAATTTTTTTTTGAGTAGGTCTTAAATAGTTAATATACTATATGTTCTATTAAACAAAACAAAGATAGTATTTTCTCAGAACTAAAAGACACTGAAACTTTAATTTAAAAGTTTATTTTTCTTACGAAAACGGTGTCCGCCATGTTTATAACAGATTTAGTGGTTTTTTGGGGTTTTACCAATAAGTAATAATCAAAAATTTCTAATTTCTAATTTAACCTCAACAATCCAGTTTTTCGTTCGATGACTATGTTTAAGTTAGTAAGTAATGATACTTCTTCTAATTGCTTATTGTTGCTACTTTCCAAAATTTTATTTTTAGCTCTTGATGATGATGATAACGTTTTACGTTGATTAGGAGTTTTTTTATAAATATTCACAGAAGACAACTTTAGTCCACGAGTGACATACGGATGACGTTTCTTTGTTCACAATTTGTATGACGTCACATCATGTTGTTTTCACCTTTTCGTATTAAAAATGAAAAATATACTTTTGTAAATTGGACCTACTTATCCATCATTCGCTTTTAAAAATTGAAATTGAAATATGTATGAAATACTCATTAATTCTATGAAATTAGGTGAGTCACGTAGCCTATTAAGATTTTAGATGATTTCAAGACATGGTACTTCTTGCATAATTTGCAAAGAGCGGCACAAGCCTAATGAAGGTAGATGTTTCTACCGGTAAGTATTATTATGTTGATATAACGCTATCACTTTGGTCGACAAATGAGTTGAAAATACGCACAAAAACTATGGAATTTTGGCGTCAAACAATGCAAACATATAGGCTTGGCTCCTAATCTATTCGAATTCGTGTTTTTGTTATATTGTAGTGTGTTTTAGAGATATATGAAGTGGAAATTTGACACTTACCATTTCTCACACGTTTGACACTTAGCGATCTTGTGAAGCATACTCTGCGCACACTGCACTTGCTGCAAGTATTTGCAAATGATGGAGGTCTGATAATTAATGAGCAACTGTAGCCACGCTTCCATTCTTGGATTTGACGGTAGTGGCGATATCTTCTCGTCTACTCCTTCAATGCTCTTTGTGTGCTCCAATACGTGCTTGTACATGTAACGATAGGTGATGCTTTCATCGCCACATACCAAACACTTGAACCTAAACAGACAAATGACATTTATATACTGCTATTGGGAATACTTTTTATGAACTACATGGTGATCTCGGTATATAATATGAATGTATGACAGCTAAAATAGGAAAAACCAATGTGTATGAACCATTCAGGAACCTGATTTCAGAGGTAACCAGCACCATCTAGTGTTTGTTAAAGCTGATACAATCTAAACCCTACATTGACGATGCACAAGCACATAACATACAGGGTGTACACCAAGACAGAAGGACATTTGTGCAAGTGTACCAAAGTCTTCGAGATACAGGAAGTGTTGAGCCCACTAATATACGTACTCAGGTACAGGTTACTGTAGAGCAGGAGGAACAAATTTTAAATATCGTGGAAATCAATGCAGATATCAGCACTCGCGTAGGACTATCGCATACCATAGTCCATAGAATCCTACGGGAAAATTTGCTTTATCCCTACCATGTACAACGTGTGCAGGCCTTATTACCAGAAGACTATCCTCGCAGACTAACATTCTGTCACTGGTTTTTGCACAAAAAACATTGAAAATCCGGATTTTTTTAAAAACATTCTAGTGACGGTCGAATGTACTTTTACGCGAGACGGGATATTAAATTTCCATAATACTCACACGTGGGCCCAAGAAAATCCTCATACCATTCGTGAAGGTCATTTCCAACAGCGTCTTAAAATAAATATTTGGGCGGGTATTCTTGACGATCAGGTAATTGGCCCTTTCGAGTTACCCCCAAAGTTGTCAGAAAAAGGATACCTTAGCTTACTAGCCAATAACCTCCAGAACTTTTGGAACAGACCTTAGACAACATGCCATTACAACGGAGACAGAATTTGTGGTTTCTTCATGACGGGGCACCACCACACATTTTTAGAGGCATTATTCAGTATTTGAATGAACATTATCCAAATCGCTGGATCGGTCGAAATGCTCCTGATCCTCGAAAATGGCCAGCAAGATCTCCTGACCTCAATCCGATGGATTTCTGGTATTGGGGAGAACTTAAAGGGTTGGTTTATGGGGCTGGTCCAATAAAAACTGAAGCACAACTTCGCGAAAAACATGTTAAGGCGGCTGAAATAATAAATGGACAACTTCGAGGACCTAGAGTAAGAAGAAACTGGGTTCGTCGTAACGAAGCTTGTGTGGAAAGTGGAGGACGACATTTTGAACACCTTCGTTAAATACAAAAAAGTGCAGTGTGGATTTTAAAAAGAAAAACAATGTATGTATCAAAATTGTGTTCCCTATTTATAAGTGGATTTTTTTAATACGTTCAATAAACTTTCACACACCAGGTGAAGCGCTGAGACAGTTAGTGGTAAGTCCGTTTTTTTAATTGTTTGCGTTTTACGAGTACATTACCAAATAATGAAATAATACCTAAGAGCCAAAAATAACAAACTCAATCTTTATTTACACTGCGTTCCGTCGTAATTTGCGTCTAGCATTGCGGCGTTGTCAGAATGTATTTTACTTTAGAGTCGCTTTTATCTAAAAAAATTACTTGAGACGGGTTTACACGTACGTGTACGTTTTGTGGGACAGGGCAAATCGGATCCAATAAAACGTAGTGTGTAAATAGAAAAACGTACGTCTTGTCGAATCGAAATGAAATCTAAGGTCAAATTGAAAAACTGATGGGACAAAACAATACGTGTAGACTTCAGACAATACGTCGCTACTCGAGAACTGAGCCAAGAGGCTCAGTTCTCGAGTAGCTCCACTTCAGTTCGCTTCCTTTTCCCCAAAAAACCTAATAATGTCAGACTTGCGGCAATGCAGCCACGATTTTCTCGGGGAATTCATTGAAATGTATAAGTTTTCCAAGTTTGTGGCAAGTGGAAAATAAAGACCATAGTGACCGTAATAAAAAGAAACGTCGCGTATGAGGATCCTATAAAAAAATATAAAGAAACCCCCATGTTATATGAAACTTTTTGCTTCTTTGAACCCCCTCTATCACCCATTTAAATAATGACTATCATAACGTTTACACCCTGTATGCTTAGAAAAGTTCAATTACCGCCAATTTAACAAAGAGTTAGCCGGTTACGTATACGTAGTCATGCCATAAGTTCTGTCCCTCGTTTTCAAACAAGTGTAGACCTGTTAATACTTGTCCGATTGTTTACATTGTGGTGTCAGTTGATTAAGCGCTTTTCGGGTAATTACATATACCTCAGTTTGTATTGATCTCTCGAAGCATAACGATGGAGTGGGGCAAGGCAGAGAACCGTATTGCAGTGATAGCTTTACATAAGTGTAATCACAGTGCTAGTCAGATTTTTGAACTCTTACGCGGCCTTCAAATATCGCGTAAATTTGTGTCTAGGACCATTCAGCGGTACAATGAGACGTCCTCTGTTGATGACAGGCCAAGAAGCGGAAGACCTCGTCAAGTAAGGACTCCAGCAGCCATCAAAGCCGTAAAAGCCAGGATTCAAAGGAATCCACTCCGGAAGCAGAAGATCCTATCCAGGGAAATGAAGATTCCTGTCCGGACGATGTCGCGCATCATTAAACAAGACCTAGGGCTAGGGGCTTACCGGAGACGTACGGGCCAGCGACTTACGGCCACCTTGCGACACATCAGGGCGACAAGATCCAAGAAGCTCTTGGAGAGGTACGCAGCTGGGGGATTCCGAAAGATTTTGTTCACGGATGAGAAAATCTTCACCATAGAAGAAAAATTCAACCGACAAAATGACAAAGTGTATGCAAGGAGTTCACAGGAAGCTTCGGAGATCATTCCGAGAGTTGAGAGAGGCCACCACCCTGCGTCAGTCATGGTTTGGTGGGGGGTGTCCTACGAAGGGGTCACTCAGCTCCATTTCTGTAAACAGGGCGTGAAAACAAAAGCGGCAAACTATCAGAGCGACATACTGGATCCTATCGTCAAGCCTTTAAGTGGTACATTGTTTGCCAACCAACACTGGGTCTACCAGCAGGATTCCGCCCCCGCTCACAAGGCTAAGAGTACGCAGCGCTGGCTGGAAAGCAATGTGCCAGAGTTCATTGCTGCGGAAGATTGGCCCTCAGGGAGTCCGGACCTCAATCCTTTAGACTACAAGTTGTGGGACCTGCTAGAGCAGTTGGCCTGCTCCAAAGCCCACCGTAATATCGAGTCCCTGAAAGCGGATTTGATCCGATCAGCGGCAGCTATTCCTTTGGAAGCTGTGCGTGCAGTGATAGATGAGTGGCCCGCGAGATTGAAGCAGTGTGTGAAGGCCAAGGGGGGACATTTTGTATAAAACTGTTTGATTATGAATTCTAAAAATGTTGTCGAATAAATAATATCTTTCATATAAATATATCTTATCTTGTTTCATTTTTATCATGAGATTATCATGGGACAGAACTTATGGCACGACTACGTATAGTAGCAACGAATGTTCGAATAGTTGTGCCTGCTTACCGATAAATCTTTTTCTCCTTATACATGTGGAAGATAAAGTCTGATATCCTCTTGGATTTGAACTTGCCACATACTGGACATTTGAGCTGCTTGTGGAGGGGTAATCCGAACTCTCCGAAGGTTTCTTTAAGACTCTTGTCGGAATAGTCGTCGTCTTCACAGCTTACTAAATCTATAACGTCCGATTTAGACATCTTCGAAGAATCAGTTGCAAGCGATTGGGAAGCTCTTCTCTTGATCGGTCTCCGCGCGACAAAATTCGAATCGATCAAGTCCTCTTCATTTTTGATCGAAATGAACGTTGATGCTGGAGCATCGGTCTTCTCAGTCGGTTCATAGTCCTCGTCATGAATCACGATAACACCGGTATCTTTCTGCTCCTCTGATATTTTTGCGAGAACGAACTTTGTTTCATCATCTCTTTCTTTAGCAATCTCATTCGTGCATTTTTCTATAATGTCGGTCACCTGAAATAGATTTAAATGATTAGCCGACAGTATAGTGCGTTTCAATTCTCTGTTCATATCGATTTTACAGAAAAATGGATAATAGGAAAGACGCAAAAACTTTAAGCTACAATATAATTCATTGAAGAAACCAAAATTTTGATAAAAAATCAAGCTGGATTTAGAAAAAATCTTCCACAGAAACGGCAATACAAATGGTGGTGGAAGACTGGAGAAGAAGTATACAGTATGGGAAAAACCATTATTATACATTATGATGAGGAAGAGAGATTGAAATATACAAAAGTATGTAGGTGCGTGAAAGACACTCGATTGTAGGATCTTATCTGGCAGCGTCGGAGTGTGACGGACAACGGGGTAAAGTAGAAGAGTGATAAAAGAGAGATGGCAGAACGGGCGCTGGCGCCTACCGCTTAGACGGATGCGCTCAACAAATGCGATTTGTTTCTCCCATTCGCAGAGTTGCCGATACCAATATGTTATATTTCTAAGAAATCTAAGTCTACCCAAATTTCGGGAAAAATAGCTGCGGATTCCACATAAGAGTATTCCAAAAATGAAAAAATTTCAAACTATTAAAATTGTATTAATGTTTCATGGTTCAAATCATATTTTTCATGTTTGTATATTGTTGTATAAATGATTTTGTAATCCCTATTCTTGTTGCCAGTAGAGATACAACAGTATTGAGAGAAATCATGGACCGCTAGATAGGGCTACAACTACCATATGACTATCAAACACGGTTTGTTTATAGCACAGTTGCCTGGTGTCGCGAATTTGCGCCATATGGGCGATTTGACAACTTTGAAGGACAACTATAACGGTTACTATGGTGCCCGGTATTCGGGAATCTGGCAATACCTGATGATTCCTAACGTTTATTACGCCAGATTGTTTGCTGACTTGCGCAGTACAACATGACAATCAACGTGACTGAGCACCTGGTAACCCTGGTTTAAGGTGTTATATTTAAAGAGCTTGGGGCAGTTAGGTATCTAGGTCACATTTTTTAATGTATTTCGAGAAATCCGTAATGTTGAGTAAATACTAGATCACGTTTCTTGCTTAGTTTGCTGAAAATTCTACAATAGACGTACATTTTGAGAAACAGAGATTTGGTGACGACAAAATCGTAAAAATATAACGCATTTTCGTAAAATAATTTCTTTGTTGAAAAGACTGTGGCTTGATGACCCATTGAACGAGTATAGTGTCCCGCTCCGCTTTGAATATTCGAAACACTTTACTCCAGCAGCATTCAGCTTCAATGTTAGCTTTATGAAGTTCTAACGTCTAGGCCATGCTGATTAAAAGCTTGAATGAATCAACACTTAACTCTAAATTCCCCACAATTCGGGAAGCTCTACTCAAATTGGCAACACAGCGTATCTGCCTATTATTCTCATTCGTGCTACAGGTCTGCGGTTAACGGTAGGAAATATGTACGAATAGCGATGAAAGTATCAGTATCAGATATGCCTTTAGATTACGAATGAACCACATTTTCTTCAGTTAAATCATTCGTTGTGATGGACCAAAAAATAAACATAATTACCTTGTCCGAGAGTCTGCTAGAAGCATCACTAGTACTTTTTGCAGACGCTGCAGCAACAACTGCATCAATCGAAGAATCCAAATTAGTCCTAGTCGTTTCCTGCTCGGTCAAAGATTGTTGCCTGCTGATAGATTTGCATGGTTTTGTTGGTGATTTTGACGTCTTACTAGGCGTAGTTAAGCCCTTAGATAGAGGCGTAGAACAACGCGAAGTGCTGGGACCTGGTTGACTGGTATCTGGCGTTACGGGTGCCGAAGAGGTTTTCGATCCCTTTTTACTCTTGGACGATGGAGGTGATGATTCGTCGAAAAGAATTCCGCGGATATGTCTTACCCTAAGTGGACAAAAAAATAATTGTAAATCCTTACGTCTAATTTCTGAAACTCAAACAGCTCTTATCTCTATTTAAAATAATCGTGATGTAATCGTTTACAGAACAGACTTTATCAGCGTTTTCATTGCTATGTTATATACTGGAGAGCATAACTGTAGCCCTACCAACAATTTTAGTTTGGTTGATTTAAATGTAAAATTACAGAAAATGGATTGAAGAAAAATGTGTAAGCGAATAATTTTACAAAATTGTCAAAACTACTTAATGTCGCATGAGGGTATTTTTTAAATCCCATTGACAATCTAATGGAAAAAAATTAGGCTAATGGACATACCTTGGCCTGTCCCGCTGCCACAAAGGCGTCGTGTCAAACTCAGGATTCTGCTCCTGTTCCTTAGGCTGATCTTCCAAGTATACGTAAACACATACAGTATCAATAGGCCGGTTGTCATGGTCGGCTGCGAAATGCTGTTGAAAGGCTGATTTGTCGTTCGTTTTGAAAGAGCACAACGCGCACTTGTACTGACAGTCCACATCGTGCTTCTCCATGCAGTGCTGCCGCATTGAATCCTCGTTTTGGCAGCGGTATTTGCAGAAACAACAACGCCAGGGTCGCCACGGTTTTGACGGTTTCGACGATGTCGCGGTTCCGGCACCAGCGCTGGATGTAGATGGTTGGCTGGTGTCGCTGTCGACGGGTTCAGATTCCATGTTTCTAAAACAAACCCAAAACATCAAAATTCAAAAGTTCAACGCCGTCACTTGCTTGAAAATTTTGTTTATTCAGATGTATTTAGCATGATTACTACAATTACATTCTTTTAAAAATCTAAATAATTACATAACATACAGGTATTTAGAAAAAAATTTGCATCGCTCTGAATTTTCACTGTCCATGAAATATTCCTTTAATTTTCTTTAGAACATCTTTAAATTACAAGTAGACTTTATATCATTATTTAGTTTATTAAATTCAAGTAATCCTTTCTGAAATATTGATTTGTTAGTTATATAGGGTGCGTCATCTATTACTTTTTTTTCTATTTGAAAAATCAACCGGCGTTTTACGAGGTGAAATCGAATTTTTTTATGAAGTTTGGTTTATGCCATTTATGTATGAAAAATAACATCAGTCATGTGACCACCGCGGCTGCGTTTACAGGCCAACATCCGAACATCAACATTTTCAATGACTTTTCCCAGAATAATCGGGTATATGGCCGCAATTTCAGTCCGAATATTACGCTTTAGGTCTTGAATTGTCCGGGGACCATTCGCATACACTTTTCCTTTCAAAAATCCCTAAAGAAAATAGTCAAGAGGTGTTAAATCGCACGATCTCGGGGGCCAACTGACATCTGAATTTCGTGAAATTGTGCGGTCTTGAAATTTCGTGTGCAATAAGGCGATTGTTTGGCGAGATGTGAGCCGTTGCTCCGTCTTGATGAAACCAAAGATCATCGGCACCAATTCGATCCAATTATAGCCACAAAAAGTCTGTTAACATACCGCGATAACGTTTCCCGTTGACGGTAATGGCCTTTTCTTCGGCATCTTCAAAGAAGAATCGTCCAACGATGTCACCAGCCCATAATCCGCACCAAACAGTCACTTTTTCAGGATGGAGAGATTGTTCATGATATCGGTGTGGATTTTCAGTCCCTCCAGAATATGCAATTTTGCTTATTTACGTACCCATTGAGGTGAAAATGAGCCTCATCAGAAGAGAGCACTTTGGCCGAAAATCCGTATTCTCTTTCCAGCATCCAATTAACAAAAATATGATTGATTGGATTTTTTATGGATGGAGGTGTAAACCAATGTGTAAAATCCGGCGTAAAGTGGTCTCACTAATTTCCAATTATTTCGAACGGTGCCTAGTCGAGGTGGTTGGATCTTCTCGCACACTTTCACTCACTGCGGCTATGTTTTTACGAGTACGAGCTGGACGAGCATGTTGGTATGGTCTACCAGTTTCCTCAAAACGATTAACAATCCAATGAATTCCAGGCTCTGAAGGGCGTCCATGTCGGCCAAAACTAGTGCGAAGTTTGCGAAAAGTATTTCGACCGTTTTCATAATAAGTTTGGATAACCAAAATGCGTTGTTGTGTTGTAAACGAATCCATGACTATAAATGGCATACCCTTGACAGTTCATTCATGAATACCACATGACTTTTGACTCACATGGTAACACATAAACCTATAGGTAAAAAAAAGTAATAGATGGCGCACCCTATATTAGTATTGCAATTTTTTAAATGAAAATCTGTATTTCCTCTTGTATAATAATTGTGGTAATGATTATTCAATTCTATGTAGTGTTATAAATGTTGTGGCAACAGATGAAGGAGAAAAAAGGAACCAAATATGATATGAAATTTTTTATATACAACCACTGCAATTCTTGTAACTTTAAAGCTATGAGAATAATATTGAATAAAAATAAGTACACTAAAATGAAATCTATGAGAATAATATTGAATAAAAAAAGTACACTAAAATAAAATCTTTTTGCAGCACTTTTTGAGAATACAGCTTCATAGGCAGTGAACAAGATAGTTGAACAATATAGTAAATGCGGTAGAATAATTGCATTATAAACTATTTTCTTGGAATATATGTTAGTAGTACCACAGCAAACACAAATTGTCATTTGTATCCTCAAGACTGTAAGCATATGAGAAAAAAAATAGTCCTTACGAATAAAGAATAAAAACATAACACACTTTTTAAAATATACTAAGAATGTTTCCAATCTTTCGTCCGCTACTGTATGCTATGATTTAGAAAAACTTACCTAACGACAACAACTTTAGCCGTAATTTCGCCCGCGTGCACATCTGCCACATGCCTTTCCACCTTATGCCGTTGGTTGTGTACAAAGTCACATCTGGAACACCTGTACAATTGCCTGCCGTGCAATTTGAGATGCCTGAGGATGGCGTCTGCGTCAGCCCCTGCACCGAGGTCGACTCCACAGTGTGTACAGCGGCATTTCAGCGCCGCTTCGTCAGCATGAAGCGCATCTATATGGTGTCGGAGGTTACCTTCTTCCGGGCAGATGTAGTTGCAAGCATCTGCACAGCAGGCGTATCGGTGATGAGACGGTACGAATTCAGGAACAGCTTCTTCGGCTGAAATAATGAAAATTTTACTAGGTGTTATTTTTAACCCTTCTCAATAGCTACCCTGAACGTTTTATCTTAGATGATCGGAGATAACATTTTGTATGTATATTGGGCGTAATAAGCGTTTACGTCCCCTGTGCCGATCCGTTCCCTGAGTCTTTAAAGCCCTGGGTACATATATACATCGGTATTTCTCAACAAATTTAGAAATTTCATTTTGCATTTCTTAAAAAAAATAATTAAGATATATCCTTTTTTTGCAGAAATATAAAGTTTTACTTTAGTGAGGTTCATTGAAAATGAAGGTCCTCCATATTTATGTGTATAACATGTAGAAAAATGACTCTTAAAAAACTATGAAATGAGGGAATGACTGATAGGATGGGGGAATGAGTTTTACAACAATTTGATGCTGAATTTCAATAAAAAACATAAGTTAATTTATCAATAGATGTATTCAGATTTGTTTTATACTTTAGAGAGCTTAGATAGTCCTTCTTTGCTTGGCACATTATTTTCATCCTTCTCTAAGAAATTAACATCACCCTTAACTTTCAGCATTTTGGAGCTAACTTTACGAGTACAGTTCTTTCTGTACGTATCGTTTTTGAAAAATATTTCGATCTATATAGCAATTTGTATCTTTTGTACTAATTGCAGCTTCAAGATTTTGTAATATTTTTTCTTTTCTCCATGTTTACTTCCAAGATCTTCATAGATATTCTTGAGGTCCGTTGACAGTGCTTCTCCGAAAATGAGTCTTTTTCTTTCAACGTCAGGAACTTGTATATTCTTTAAAGGCGAAAACACTTTAGTTGCTGGAATGATTTCATTTCAAGGGACATAGTTTAAATAATTTTTTTATATGCATATTTCTTAGCAATGAAAGCTTGACTATACAATCCATACTTATTACCAAATATTTTAGTAATATTCAATTCATAAGAATATGAACAGATTTGATTGTATATATTTTTTTATTATTAATTTCAGACCCAGGGACGAGATGAGGGAAAGACTTGAGACTAATAAATTAATCGTATTTTTTTTGTGTCAATATATTATCCAAATTTTTTCTTTTAAAATATTAGTGGTTGATACTTATTGATATAATAAAATTGTTAAATTGACGATAAATCCAATTTAGCATCAATGGCTCAGGACATGAATTTCGAAATTTGCTGAGAAATACCCACATACCTATACCAGCTTATCCAAGTCAATGAATTTTTTGAATATCTTTGCTGAGGGTACAGTATAAACCCTCAACCAAGACCCTAACTCTAGAAATACATCAAAGACAAAAACTAAATAAATGTGTCAGAAAAATACCTTTGACCTCTGATGACTTTCCTGAAGCACCGCCCATCCTGCTACTATTTGCGTGAGAACTACCAGCAAGATTCACCATCTTATCAAACATCTTCTCGTTTTTCTCAAGACACGGCACTGGATTGACCGGTGCCGTAGTAGGAACTTCTTTCTCTTGCTGGTGGAACTGCAAGTGACGCAACAAGTTGGTGCGTACTTTGGTACTATACGAGCACACGCCACATCTAGAAAGAAAACAAGCGTGCGTGTAAAAATATTTATTTCAGGAATTTCGTCGATTACTTAGATGCCTAGGGACACTGACGTGTACGCGTACTCTGATTTGTATACTTGAAAAAGATACTCGTAGTCTCGTCGGCCACAAATGCCACTAAATACATCAACACGTGCTTTGAAAAAAATCAACAAACATTGTTATATAAAACAGAGTTGTCCAGTGGGAAAGTTCACATTTCAAATTTGAATTACGCGGTAACCGTATACGCGAGGAAGTGGGGAGAGGTCTTGATCGACGCGTTCGGCGTGCGGGTTAAATAGTCACAATGGAACGCTGGACCGGAGCATAACGTGCTTTTGCTATCGAGTGGTGATTCATACGCAGCTGCCCTTCGGAACTTTTGTACACTATACAACATTCGCCGACCAAAAGATGCTCCATGTAAGAACCTTAATTAAGGAAAACCTGGATGAATACATAACAATGATGGAAAACAATATATTGAACGACAGCCGATACTTTTGGAAATACGTTTCAAATAAGAAAAAATGTCATGTCTCTATACCTAGTTCTATAAATCATTCAAACTATGAAGTTAAGACAGGAAGTGGGGTGTGTAATGCCTTTGCTGATTTCTTTGCAAGTGTATATGTTAAATCTAAACATTTTTATTTATACAAGGATGCTAGTCCTATTGATGTTACCTTAATATCTATTGAAAAAATATATCAGCAGATAGAGTCCTTAGAAATTAAAAAATCAGTAGGCCCTGACGGCATACCTTCTGTATTTATAAAAAACTGTTCCGCTAGCTTATGTTTACCACTTCACCTAATTTTCAAACTATCATCAACTCAAAGAGTCTTTCCAATGAGATGGAAAGAAGGTGAAATATTGCCTATTCATAAAGGAGGCGATAGACATCGTGTGGAAAATTATCGACCTATCACTAAACTTTGTATTTTCTCAAAAAATTTTGAAAAGCTGATTTATGATCCGATCGAACATTACAAAAAATATCATTACGGAACACGAGCATGGATTTTTCCCTAAAAGATCTGTAGAGACGAATTTGATGAGTTTTATAGAATATGCCTCTCACGCAATAGATGAGAAACTGCAGGTGGATGTTATTTATACCGACTTCAGTAGGGCTTTCGACAAGATTGATCATTCTATCTTGATGGAGAGACTTGCTGAGGTGGATGTAGATGGTCCATTATGGCAGTGGCCAGCATCGTATATAAGTAATCGTAAACAAGTGGTGACTATCAATGGGTATCGTTCGGAGACATTCTTAGTAACTTCAGGCGTGCCACAAGGTAGTCACTTAGGACCATTGTTATTTAACATATACATGAACAACCTTACTTCTGTTTTTCATTTCAGTAAATATTTGTTATATGCTGATGATCTAAAGATATTTACTATTGTTAGAAATGTAAATGACGGTGTAAAACTTCAAAGCGATTTGGAATCTCTGCAAAAGTATTGCACTGAAAACAGTATCATCCTGAATTTAACAAAATGTCATTACATGAGGCTTACTAGAAACATAGCGAACACTATAGATTTCAGATATAAGATAGGGACGGCAGAACTGGAAAAGCTTCATGTAGTAAAAGACCTAGGGGTATACATTGATGAGAAACTCTCATTCATCACCCACATAGAGCACATCGTAAATGATACAAATAGAACACTAGGGTTCATAAAAAGGACATGCAGAGAATTTACGAACCCAAAAACGCTTCTTTCATTGTACTACGCTTATATACACAACAAACTGATGTTTGCATCAGTAATATGGAATCCGTCTTACAATGTACATATAGTCAGGATAGAAAGAATTCAACACAAATTTTTGAAGATGCACATAAAACTCACCAACCTGTTACAGATCATCATTATACGCAAATTATGAAACAGTTCAATATGATTTCCTTAAAAGATAGAAGAACGATTTCTGACATTTGCTGTGTCCATAAATTGTTGAATGGCCTCACTGACTGTCCAAATCTTTTGGCAAACTTGAACTTTAACACTCCTGATAGAACGTTTAGAACCTATCATCTGTTTAGAATACCGTTCCGTAGAACCAATCTTGGTCTTAATTCCCCTTTGTTCAGGGCTCAAAAAAATCATAATAATTTCTGTAATATAGATTTATTTAACATTAGCTTGACCTCCCTGAAAAAGGCTTTAAAGTATGAGTATTACAGCTCTGTGGCAGACTAAAATAGAAATGTTTTATTTTTTTACATAACTCAAGTTATCACCTCCAATATCATTTCTGGTATAATTTCAATTTAATTTTGATTTCAGTTTTAGTTAAACGTAAGTAAATGTTAAATTATGTATACTCCTTTTATTAAAAAAGTTAAACTAATAGTTAATTGCTTATAATTAGAACTACTCACTCAGTTTATGTTGTTACAACAATATCGGAGGATAAAAAAATATTAATATTGAAGTATTCAATAATGTAATATATGTATACGATATTTTATGTAAGTTTAGTTTTAGTTCACTGAGGGTGTGTGTTGGGTTTACCTGTTAACACCCCAAACTGTATATAAATAAATAAATAAATAAACCTATTGAAAAATCTTAGTCAATCCATTCCTTGCTCCACACCTACTGTATCAACCGAGTACGTGATTCGGTCATTGCAAATTGTCGGTGTTCTGTGCGGAAGCATTCCGCTGCTTTGGGAATCCCTAGGTCAACACTGCATGGCATAATGAAGAAAAAAATGGGTTTTCATCCAATCAGTCCATGCTTTAAACGAAAGTGATCACGTATTACGGAAATCTTGTCTGAATGGATGTTGAATCTTTTTCCTACGCAGCGCAGACTCGAGAACGTTGTTTTCAATGACGAGGCCCATTTTCACTTGACGGTTATGTGAACAAGCAAAAATGCAGATATTGGGCAACAACGAACCCAAAAGAGATACATCAACAACAGCTACAATAGTCCAAAGGTGACTGTTTGGTATGCCATATCCTCTAGCGTTATTATTGGGCCGTATTTCTTTGAAGATGAAAACCGTCATGCATTGACAGTCACTTCCGAGCGATACAAGGACATGATTGACACTTTTTTGCTCCTATTATACAGGGTGGCCCATAAGTCCTTTGAGCTGGAAAAAAAGGAATAAAACCAAACTAGTTACATTATGAAGAATTATTATATTTTGTTATCATCTTTATTGAATGGGAATTATGTTTTAAAAATCACATTGCCTAAATGCAATCCATTACAATCACGGCACTCATATAAACGACGTCTAAAATTGTCGATGACTGCGCGGCAAGTCAACACTGTAATGCTTGCCATTTCTCTTCGGATATTTTCTTTCAGGACATCAACTAATCGCGGAGTGGTGTCGTACACTTTACTCTTGAGGTAGCCCCATAAAAAGAAGTTCATTGGGGTCAAATCTGGACGACGGGCATAGAAGTGTTGGAGGTGTGGGCAGTTGCTCCGTCCTGTTGAAACCAGGTCTGCGTATTATAGCCTGGAAAATTCTGCAACGCTGGTGTCAAAAACTCTTCTATCATTGCTACATACCGCTCCGAAGTAACAGTTAATGCGCGACCTCTGTCGTCCTCAAAAAAATAAGGGCCTACGATGCCATGCGCTGACATAGCAGCCCAAACTGTAACTTTAGGGCTGTGTAAGGGCTTCTGATGCTTACGCCTTGGATATTCGGGGCTCCAATAACGGCAATTTTGTTTATTTACATGCGAGTTTAAATGGAAGTGAGCCTCGTCCGAGAACAACACATTATTGAGCGAAGAAAATCGATTCAACATTTCATTCGCAAAGTTTAGTCTCTGAATAGCGTCATTATCTTTTAATTCCTGCACTAACTGAATTTTGTAAGCGTGCAGACGTAAATCTTTCCTTAAAATACGCTGTAAAGATGTTCTGGGTACGTTTAGTGCAATGGAACGCTTACGAGTAGACTGGGTAGGATTTTGACGAACAGACTGTGCCACAATGTTGATGTTTTCTTCAATACGAGTTGTCCTTGGTCGACCCCACCGCTATTTATCTAACGTCGAACTAGTCTCTTCGAACTTAGCAACCCAGTTCTTAATCGTTTGAGCTGTTGGACACTTTGTAAAATTGTGTAAATTGTGGTATTCTCGATATTTACGCCGCGCAATGGTTGCCGAATCATTATTTTGATAAAACGCGCGCACACAAAAAGCACGATCCGCTCCAGTGAAACACTCCATGGCGACTGAATTCCCAGACACTGAAGATACTGCCCCCACCTCGCCCGCGCCGCTCACGCTCACCCGTTAAATTTTATTCAAATTTGAAATTTCAAAGGACTTATGGACCACCCTGTAAGAACAGAACGTCGATTTTACAGAAACACATGGTTTCAACAGGATGGGGCCACTGCCCATACTACCAGAGAATCGATGGATACGGTGAAAGTTGTATCGAAGTTTGGAGACATTCACTGGCCTCCTAGGTCACCCGACCTCACGCCATGCGATTCTTTTTTGTGGGGTTATCTACAGTCAAAAGTATATTCCAATAATCCACGAACACTGGAGGAGCATGAAGACACCATTCGACGAGAAATAATCAACATCACTCCGGAACTCTGCAATTTGCGCGCGCGATTAGAAGAGTGTGTCCGAAGTGACGGCAAACATTCATTTAAGAAATAAATCCCGCTGAATTTATGAATATGTTGATAGTAATGAATGTTTTCTTTTCGTTAAGTCTTCTTAAATCGAACAGTGAACTTTCCTACTGGTATTCTATTGCCCACTGATTCTCAGGTAAGTAAAAGAAACGTCAGCTTACCTCACTTCTGTGCTAAATATACTACGATGTGGAATGACATCTATATCTTGAGGCAGGAACGTTATTTCCTCTTTTTGGGGAGTAAAAGTTGATGCATCTGATGGCTGCTCTATCAATGGGATAGCACTCAACAGCTTTGGTTTCAAAACGTAGACGCCATCTTTGTCGAATTGTACCTGATAAAGCCAATATGGTATTAAAAGCTGTCCTTTCCGTTATAATATTATATAGTTAATCATATTAGCACATAATTGTAAAGTTCAAAGGGCTCTGGATCCGTGTTGAACACTCATTGAAATGAAAAGGGGTGTTTTCGTGTGTTTTTTTTTCTAATTGAACCAAGTAAGATAAAAAAATTTCTAATTTTCTTGAAAACGAATCGACCGATTTTAAAAAATCAAGCGTCAAAATAAAGGACTTCGAAATACCTTTCAAACAAGCTATTACTCGATACCTCTTACACTTAACCATATAGTCTCTAGCAGATGTTCAAAAGAATACACTATCCACAAACAGATTTGGTTCATTACATCGAAAGTAAAATTTTTAAAAGAAAAGAGAAAAAGGCATACTTTCCAAACCCAAATGCACCAAAAAATTATTAATCTGAATTAAAGATGGAATAAAAAAGAAATGAATGATTACGTAAATTATATGTTTGGAGGGTTGAGTAATAATGTTTTAACTTTTTATCGAAAGACAGGTAATGAAAATTCTTTATATACTTTAGGAAGGTCATTATAAATAATAGCAACATTGTAAGAAAAACTGCGTTTAAAAAGTGTAGATGTATGCAGGGGTATTCTAATATTATTTTCTCTGAGAGTTCTACAGTGAACATCATTATTAAATGAAATTTTTTCCTTCAAGTAATAAGGTTTAGACGTGAGCAGCAATTTGTGAACAAAAACTGAATAGTGATACTTGACCATGTCATTAATTTTTAACCAGTTTAGAACGGGATATTTCGCCGATACATGATCAAATTTACGTAAGCCAAAAATGAATCGTATACAATTGTTTTGAATAACTTGAATAACGTTTTTAGTGAAATTGTCTAAACAAGTATGGTATACGATATTACAATAATTTAGTACAGATATGACCAATGCTTCAGATAGTTTTTTACGCATCTTAAAATTTAGTAAATACCTGTTTGCTATAAGAGTGCGCAGCCGTAGGTAGGTTTTCTGAGATAGACTTTTAACATGTTCAATAAACCTTAATTTTGTATCAAAAACAACACCAAGAATTTTTGCAGAATCAGAAAATTGCAAGATTTGGTTATTTATCTGAATGTTCAAGAGTTGTGTTACATTGTATGTTTTTCTTTGTGCGCAAAATAATAACATTTTAGATTTTTGTGGATTAATAAGTAGATTGTGATCTAAAGAGTATTTAATTAATTTATTAACATGGTTTTGTAAAATTTGAGTAGTATTATTGACATTATCTGGGTTAAAATAATGAAGCAATTGCGTATCGTCTGCAAATGACTGGACATGAGAATTATCAATACTTTTGCTTAAGTCGAACGTATATATGAGGAACAGAAGCGGCCCCAATACAGAGCCCTGAGGTACGCCTGAGGGAATTATTGTCACTTGAGACATTTCTTGATTGAGAAAAAGACACTGAGTTCTTTGATGAAGGTAACTGTCGAAAAATGAAAGGGATACACTGTCAAGACCTATGTAATTTAATTTAGCAAGTTATAATTTATGATTGATGCTGTCAAAGGCCTTCGAATAGTCTATAGAAATTAAGGCTAGTGCCATTTTCTTATCTAAGGCACTTAAAATATTGTCTTGCAGATTAAGTAGGGCGAATGTTGTACTATAATTTTTTCTAAATCCGGATTGAGTGTCGGGAAGTATAAAGAATTTTTCTAGGTAAGCGGTCAATTGGAACTTTACAATTTTTTCTAAAATTTTGGATAAAATTGGTAATAAACTGATAGGTCTGAGATCATTATACTCAGTGGGTTTCATTTTTTTAGGAATTGGAATAATTAGAGCTTGTTTCCATGTGTTTGGAAAGTAGCCTTTTTCCAAACAGTCGTTAAAGATGTGGACGATGTGATGGAGAATAACTGGCAGGCAAAGCTGGATCATTGACAGGGATATACCATCAATTCCCTTCGCATCAGATTTTAGGCTCCCTATTGCCTGTAATACGTCATTTGAACTAATCTTATTCAATGAAAAAATATATTCAGAGCTCAATTTATTTTTGAAATAGTTTTCGCAAACTAGTGAATCAACAGGTTTATAGCTATAAACAGACATAAAATAATCATTAATTTTGGTAGGGTCATTAAAACTTGCCGGAAGGGTTGGTTTACTACGAAAATTTATATCAAGTTGTTTGAGAGACTTCCACAATTTTTTTGAATCATTTTCATTTGCCAAATTTTCGATATATGTCTTTTCGTCCCTCCTGATCATGTTAAGAGCACGGTTTCTAAGCGATTTGAAGTTATTATAGGCGTCCACGGTCTTATTAGTTTTATATATATATATATATATATATATATATATATATATATATATATATATATTCACTGTTCATCTTTTCCATCAATCCTAAAGGTTTTGAGTTCCGACCTGGAATACAAAAAAATTCCTACCTGACTGAGCAGAGTCTGTGCGACGTTGTGCCTGCTCTTCATGTGCATCTTAGCTTTGTGCACCGTCGCCGACTTTTCGTCACACAGAGCGCATGTATACTTCAGGTTCCCGTGATCGTTAATGTGCTCCGTCAGCTTGGAGGCGGTACGTAGCCGTTTGCCGCAATGAACGCATTCAAACAGTCGCAGTTGCGCCATGAACGGGCTGTCAATCTCTGTCACCGCGCGGCAATCTGTCGAGCTGATCTGGTGATTACGGAAACTATCTTGGTTCGATGCGGAGAAGTCACAAAACGCACAGCGATATAGCTGGTAACCTGAAAACGAGTCGAGAAGGACGTAGAGGTGGTAAAATTGTGAACGTACGGTAACATATTAGACGAAAATACCACTGGTTTGCGAAATAATTGTAAAGTTTGGTTTTATTGCTGCAAGTTGTTCAAGGGGATATCTAAAGGATGGACGCATAAAGTGGGTACACCAATTTTTGTGGGAAAACTTTTTATTCGACAACAAGGAATGAGAAAACGTGTTTTTTGGGATTCAATCGAAAGTGTTGGCAGGAACTCTTCATATTAGATTTTTAGGTATTTATGGGGCCTACAAAATGAGAAGATTCGACTTATAGCAAAAATGTTATGGCCGAAAATCGAGGCAAACTGCAGGTTTGTGATTCCTATCGGCAAGGTAAACATAAACACGTGTATTTTGCTATAAAATGCCCTTTGAAATAACCCTGTATATTGCTCAATAAACTAGTAGTGATGGCCGGAAAACAGGTGCTTTGGGATAAACAATTAGAAATTCTCAAAAAACTACTTGACCAATATACTCCAATTTAGTTGTGATTATATACAGGGTGTTTCAGTTTATTGTTGCATTACTTTAAGATTCGATAGAACTTTTAAAATTAATGCATAAAGTCTATATAAACATGGGTCGAAAAATGCGTGGCTTCCGAAATACAGGGTGTTTAAATTTACTTTCTAAAATAGTTTTTTTTAAATATTTCGAACAATATTTGATGTATAACAGTGAAAATTGGTATACCAGGGTTTTTTGGTACGACAAAACGAACCATGGGCATAGTTTTACTGTAGCCGCTAGAGGGCGCTCTCTGCTGTACCTGTAGTGTATTAAAATGACCGAAAAATTTTTCTTAGTGCAATTTTTTGCTTTTTGAATAAAAAAACTGATTCTTCGCATTTTTCAACATAAAAAAGTTCCCTTGTGAATTTTCGTTATAGTTAGCCGTCTTTGAGATATTTCGATTTTTAAGGTTCGATGCATTTTTAATTATTTATGATAAAACAACGTTAAAAAGTCAGTATCGCAATAATTTTTAGAAGTAGGCTGTGCCTGCAAATATTTTTAAAATTGAAAGCAGAATAAGGTTAAACGTCAATTAGTTGACAGTTAGTTTTGTTGTCTGTTGAAACCTGAAACGTTTTTTTGCAATTGTGAATGCACGAAATTTAGCTTCTTTCACCTGTTCTTTTTTGTAAGTTTTATAAAAATGCAATTTTTATTCTCCAATCAAGAGTTAGCGGATATTCATTTTGTGTATGGCTTTGTAAATGGAAACGCAGCAGAAGCAGCCAGAGAATACGCACGAAGATTTCCAAACAGACGACATCCAACTCGCTCAGTATTTGTAAGAGTACATCGCCAAATAATTGAAAATGGTTTTGGAAATCTCCAAAGGGATCAAAACATGCATGTTCGTTAGCGCAGATTTACCCGTATGATTCTGCGTGAGTTTGATAGAGATCCGACCACAAGTGTTAGGAGAGTTTCTGGTGCCTTGGGAATTTCAGCAAGCCATGTTCACCGTGTTCTTAGAAATGACCATAGACGTCCTTACCATTTGCAACCTGTGCAAGGACTACAGCCAGGGGACGGAGAACGAAGAATCACATTTTGTCACTGCATTCTTGATAGAACTGATAATAATAGGGAGTTTTTAAGTAACGTTTTATGGACCGATGAGTCATGCTTCACTAGACGTGGAATGGTAAATTTTCATAATCAACATATTTGGTCGCATGCAGTTCGGGAAAGAAATTTTCAGCATGAATTTAGTGTGAACGTGTGGATTGGTATCTACCGTAATCGACTATTTGGACCCTACCCTTGGCTGCAAGGTTAAATGCTGCGACCTTCTTGGAATTTTTAAACGATGAACATGCAAATATGTGGGATAATGTTATGTTAGATTTAAGAAGATTGGCCTGATCCCAGCTTGATGGTTGTCCAGCTCATTATTCGAGAATAGTTAGAAACTGGCTGGACGAAAATTATCCAGAAAGATGGATCGGCCGTGGAGGACCAGTCGCCTGGCCTCCACGATCCCCTGACCTAAATCCATTAGATTTCTTTGTGTGGGGATTTCTAAAAGAAAAAGTGTACCAGACTCCCGTAACCACAAGAGATATGCTAATAGACAGAATCAGGAATGCATGTGATGAAATAAGGCCTTATTTGAATAATGCTATACCATGTTCGATCATTCGTAGATGTGAATTGTGTATTGAACAATTGGGTTTACATTTCAAGCAACTACTTTAGATTTTGTATGTTTGTCCTAACTATCCAATAGCAGTTTAGTTGTAAATAATTAATTTAATTTGTTAAAAATAATATTGGAAAATTAAACAAATTAATATTCTGTTTTTTTGTGTTTATTTGGAGTTAGGAATTATTGCTGGGTTTAAAAACACAATCTAAACGATCATCTTAATTACTTGTAATGCCCAAATCGAAAATGTAAAAAAATATGATTTTCCCATAAATAATTAAAAATGCATCGAACCTTAAAAATCGAAATGTCCCAAAAAACGGCTAACTATAACGAAAACTCACAGGAGAGCTTTTTTATGTTGAAAAGTGCGAAGAATCAGTTTTTATTCAAAAAGCAAAAAATTGCACTAAGAAAAATTTTTCGGTCATTTTAATACACTACAGGTACAGTAGAGAGCGCCATCTAGCGGCTACAGTAAAACTATGCCCATGTTTCGTTTTGTCGTACCAAAAAACCCTTGTATACCAATTTTCACTGTTATACATCAAATATTGTTCGAAATATTTAAAAAAAAAACTATTTTAGAAAGTAAATTTAAACACCCTGTATTTCGGAAGCCACGCATTTTTCGACCCATGTTTATATAGACTTTATAAATTAATTTTAAAAGTTCTATCGAATCTTAAAGTTATGCAACAATAAACTGAAACACCCTGTAGAAGTACGAATTCTACGAATTTGAAAAATTTCAAGTATCTGCGAGAAACCATCGTCCCATTACCAAAACCTGCATTTGCCCCGTTTTTCGGCCATAACTTTTTTACTATTAGTCGGATCTTTTTACGTGTGGTATAATTTTGTAGGTGTCATAAATACCTAAAAATCTTGTATGAAAAGTTATTTTGTTCCTGTCAACACTTTCGATTGAATCCCAAAAAACACGTTTTCTCATTCTAGTTGTCAAATAAAAAGTTTTCCCACAAAAATTGGTGTACCCATTTTATGCGTCCATGTTTTAAATACCCCCTTGAACAATTTGCACCAATAAAACCAGAATATGATTATTTCGTCTGCATAACTGCCTTCAAGTTGGCTTGAATTAAGGTTTATACTCAAAATGTAGTCACATTGTAAATTGATTAAAAAAACACATCAACACATACCTAACAATCCTGTAACTTCTTTCTCATTCGCCATATCTTTGGACGTAGATGATGCATCCGCTTCATCATCCGAGCTGAAGCCGTCCCGTACTATCGCAGACTCGCTTGTCTCATTAATATCCAAAGGATCAGCAGAGGTATTCAAAGGATCTCCGGCGGAGGCCAAAGGGTCCACGCTCACTGACAGAGGGTCCGCGGCATCTTCGCTTAGAGCACTGGCATCACCACTAGTGTCATCTGCTGTTGTACCTGCCAAAGTAATAGGCAGGTAAAGACGATACAGGTAAATTATTCAGTGTTCTTGTTCTTGGCGGACGGCACATTAGGGAGCAGGTATTGAGCATTTAAAATATTACTATTGTATTTTATAAATAGGTATTGGCTAGGTGGTGATTTCTTAGTCCCTCTTTTTACCCTTTGCTTCCTTTCTTTCGTCTTCCTCTATCTTCTTCTTAATAAAAAATCTCCCCTGGCTTGGCACAGGAAGATTTTGGAGAAAAAAACATTCTGCCAGACAAGAGTCAAGGTCATGCGGACCGCTCAAATAATAAACGATGAGACGAGGATTTCATGGAGAAAATGCTCAAATGCTGGAAGGTTTCGAAACACCACGATAATTTGTCAACTAATAAAGGTAGGAAAAAACTAAGCTCCGCGATTGATAACAGTTTTCTCCACCTATCCAATGAGAACCTTGGATTTGACCTTGACCATGACCGTCGAGGTCATTTAAAACCCCCCATTTTTGAATCCGTAAATAAAAAGAGCGGAAAATTATACGTTCAAATATGGTCTTCACCATTCTTAAATTTTGCCCTTAGGAGATCATGGTCAAGGTCGAACCCGGGCACGGTGATATACGTATAACTAGAAAGCCAGTAGTCGTATAGGGAAAACAGGCCAAAAATTATTTATTTTCATTATTTTTCCCTGAATATCTAATGGCGACTTTGGATCTGACCTTGGCGATTAAGTTCAAGGTCATTTGTAAATAAACTTCCTTTTTTAATGAGACCCTACACTTTTGAGCCAGAATGCTTTTAACATGACCTTGGAAGTGACCAAGGTCAATCACAAGTTTACCTTAACTTCTTGATAATTCTGAAAACTGTGTAATCTTCAGATAAACTGACTTCACTGTTCTTTCAGGACTGTTGCCCGGCTACAAAAATCGACTTCATCACATGACCTTGGAGGTCATCATGGATAAAGTCAGATCCAAGGTCGTCATTTGATATCCGGGGAAAAAAAAATAATGTTTAGGTAGTTTCCCTACACGACTACTGGTTTTCAAGTTATATCGCGATACCTGGGTTTGACCTTGACCATGACCTCCCCAAGGTCAAGACCAACGTCTCATATCAATTACAGGGTCAAAAATCTCATCATAATCGAAATTCCAAATTTTTTCATGACATCCTGTAAGACGAGAGCATAAAATCGTCCAAAAACCCCAAAATACTAGAAAGCCAGTGGTTGTATAGGGGAAACTGCCCAAAAATTATTTATTTTTTTCCCGAATATCCAATGGCGACCTTGGATCAGACCTTGGCGATGAAGATCAAGATCATTTGTAGATCAACTTCCTTTTTTAATGAGGCGGAATTGATTTGACCGTGGAAATAAAAAAAATTGGAAAATTTTCACATTCTTTTAACTTGACCATCAAGGTCAAACACAAGTATACCCTAATTTCTTGATAATTCAGAATGTGTAATCTTTGGATAAACTGACTTCACTGTTCTTTCAGGATTGTTGCCCGACTACAAAAATCGTCTTCACCACATGACCTTGGAGGTCATCATGGTTAAGGTCAGATCCAAGGTCGTCATTTGATATCCGGGGGAAAATCGTAAAAATAATGTCCAGGTAGTTTCCCTACACGACTACTGGTTTTCAAGTTATATCGCGATACCTGGGTTTGACCTTGACCATGACCTCCCCAAGGTCAAAATTTAAAAATGGTAAAGACCAACGTAAAATTTTCCGCTATTTTCATTTACAGGGTCAAAATGGGGAGTTACATTTCACAAAATCTCGTGAGAGAAATTCGAAATTTTTTGATGACATCCTGTAAGACGAGAGCATGAAATGGTCCAAAAATCCAAAATAGTTTTTTTTCTCAATCTTAGCAAATATCTATATTATTACGCATAGCTATCTAAATATCATAATCTTTGGGCTGGTTTAAATCGCAAGGAATGGAGTTTTGTCGACAAATGGTTTCTACCAACCAGTCCTATAACCTGTTCCGAAAGTAAACCAGTTTGGTTTTCCCTGTAATATGGAGTCGGCACCTCATTAACTTATTTGGGTACCTGCATTTTACCAACCTTTATTTAGAAATTGCTTTTTGGAACCCAGCCCTTTAATTATCCCCTGTAGTAACTCTAATCTGGCCGCCTTAAATCTCTGGTTAAATGAAATAGTGTCAAATGATTTTAAAAATATTATATGTTGAAAAGACCGGAATATTCGCAAAGCAAGGCAAACAGAAAAATTCAGTAGCAACATCACAGATTATTTTAAATAAATATATATATATTTGAGAAATGCCGAATACACATTGAACATAACAGCAACATCCGTTTATTAGGGAAAAGCCAAGCAGGTCAAGAAAAATACTCTTCAGGGTAAGCGCTAATTAATAATACCTCCCAATACCAAAAAAACCGGCCCACGTAATTATCACCATGTCCGAATACAACGTTAATGATGACCTTTCTATTATTATTGTATTACCACGCAGTATTATCACCATACCTAATATAACTTGCTCTAATGGAGCAACCCCTCCATCTTCGTCTTCTTCTGTTGTTCTACTGCTCAAACTGCTTTGAGCAGACGAGCTGACAGAATCAGAAATACTCGGGAAGGAAGAAACCATGACTTGAGGACTGATCAGACTGGTTCCTGAAGCGGTGACTACTGGTGTGACAAAGACAGTTCCAACCTGGGTTGAAGCTGACTGCAGTGAATTGGCACTCCCTGCTGTAGACGTGACTGCTTGGAGCTTCGGAGCAATAGCAGGTAGTTTCGAGCCAGTTGCTTCCATGACAGGCGAAAGATTAGCTGAAATAACTTTGACGATTCCTGGTGTAGAAGCGGTACTGGCACTGGTAGCAGTACCGGCTTTTGATAGTACCGAAGTGAACGTCGGTTGACCGACAGATATAACATTCGTGGCCGCAACCGAAGTCATTTGGACTAACTGAATGAATGGTGGTGAAACTACTGCAGTTGGACAAGGAGCGACTGCTTGTGTTGCTTCTTTAACTGTACTACTGGACATCTGGAATGGACAACATTTTCAGTAAACTTTCAGGCTCTTCAGACAATAAAAATATTAGACTAGTTAAATAGTGATATTAAAAAACTTATGAATTGGTTAAATGTCAATAAACTTAAATTAAACACTAATAAAACAAAATGTATGTCAATAGGGAAACATTTAGGTGACAATAGAATTAGGCTCATGATTAATGATGAAAAAATTGAAGTAGTCGAGTCATTTAAATATCTGCTCAGGAGACTCAAACGAAGGGTCAGTCGGGTCCGACAAGACATCGCAGTCGACTGGAAGTTGCACCACGACAACGCCCCGGCTCACACCGCCTTTCTTGTGAACAGCTACCTGACCAAGGCCGGCATCCCAAGGCTTCCGCAGCCGGCCTACAGCCCAGATGTGCCGCCCCCCCGACTTTTTTTTGTTTCCTCGCCTGAAAAGGCGGATGAAACGCCCTCAATCAGAGCCGACGTCAACTACGAGTCGTGATGAAAGAAAGGCAACACCGCGCTCGGACGGCATGGTAGTGCTACCTGTGAACGTCGGCCGCCATCGGCTGTGTGCTCCGTCTCCGTGTAAGGTTCAAGAACTAAATTTAATTTTGGAAAAGAGGACAGTCCGATTCGATACAAATCGTCTGAATATGAAATAGCTCTAAAAAATTTAAAAATACGAAATAATCGTGATATATATGAGTCGCTAATGCAGTTAACCTAATTAAAGGTATTTAGTTTACGTTTTTTGGTGCCAGCACACTGTGTTCCATCAGGCCCAGCTTGAAAATGTGGAGTTACCTGTTTGTTTTTAATACATTTACTTTCAGTTTTACTGTTATTTTTCAATTTTACATAATCATTCAAAATTATGTTTGAAAAAATAGACAAAAGCTTGAATAAAATATCTGCATAATTGCGGCCACAGATGCAAGTTGAAGAAAATTCACTGTATATAAAGTCAGACTAAATGCTGAGCAAGGTTAACTGACACAAAATAAATTTTTGATTATTGCTTTTCAAGAAGAAAATTTCCAATCTATCTACATTAATAATAGATTCAAAAATGGCATACATATGGTAGAATATGATTGGTACATAACTGGTTGGAATTGACAGTCCTCCTCTTTGCAAATGATCGAAATAAACAGTTGTTGTTAATGAACCTTTTTCTTTAACTATTAGCGATTTGCATATCTCGCAGTTTAGGTTTTTAGAGATAGCGTGTGAAGCATATCCAGATATATAAGTCTTAGTACTATCCTCTATGTCACAATTGGCTAAGTAATTTATCTCAAATACTTCATTGAATATATCCAAAACTTCAGGATTTTGTTTGGTATCCAAGAAATCAAAATTTTCTTGAGTTTCTAAGCAGTTTTGGAACCTTGTTTTAATTTCTGCTAAAGAAAATGACGATTTATTTTCATTGAAAATATGCTTCAGCCGTATTTTCTTTTCAGCGTTTTAAAATTTCATCATATGACACATTGTAATTGCAGCCACATAAAAGTCTATAATTGCCAAATCGTTTTTCTAAATTATCAGTGGTGAATTTTCCAGGCAATACATACTCAATGTCAAATTGATTAAATGAATATTCAATTATATTAAGTAGAGTCAGCGTGCTTTGATATAGAGCTGTATACGTTTCTGGTGTCAGGAATTTTTTCAAAAATTGTACTCTATAATCATATTTATTGGTAATAGGCTTACAAAATTCGTTTCGCTTCAATTCTCCTTTTATTACACTTGTATTACTGACAATATCCCACCAATTCCTGATTATTTCCAAAAAGTGTGCAGCATCATTAAACATTAATTCTTTCATAGCAGCTATTGTTGAGTGATGGAATAAATTATCTACAAAATTTACATTTTGCCTTTCAAATGAATTTGGATGGAATGTTTTATAATTTAATTTATATGCTTGCTTAACTACAGTTTCTTTTTCCAATTGATATACAGCACGAATGTTTTCAAATTTAGCATACTGAATAATATCATTATTGTCAAAATTAGGATATACAAAAGTTTTGTCTAGGTTTTTTAAATTAATCCAATTATTTCTGATACTCTTGAAAATACGCACAACATCATAAATTAAATATATGTTCTTATAAGGATTATGTGGATTTGGAATAGAATAATTTTCTGATGAATCCTTTGCTAATTTCCTGAACATTGCTCTATTAATTCGGTGATTATCAGTAACAACACAAATAACTTCAAATCCACATTTTTGAACTAAATTTATCTTTGATCTTATCCATATCATCGAAATTCAGGATAGCTTTTTCATGTTTCTCAATTAATTTTTGTTTTCTTTGCATTGGGTCAGTTCTTTTGGGTGCTTCAGTTTTTGAAAGATATGATGGCAAGTTTGGGAAAATGGAGGGAACAGCATTTTCTTTCAATTTTGGATATTTCAAAGGTATATTATTTTGGACTGTTCCATCCGCCAAAACTATATTTTCTGTCCTGATGATATCCGATTCTCTAAAATGACGACTGCACACAGCTGAATATTTTGAAGGTGTCCAATTTTTTCTGGGAATTGCCATAAGCCATTTGTTTTTCAGACTTTCGGTACTTGGGAAGCGAAAAGTTGAAACATAGCTTTCCGTTTTCAAAGCAGAATTATAGTTTGCATTGCATAAAGGAACACAGCAACAACGAGGCATATTGTCTGCGTCAAATACTTGATAAATGAAAAAAGAAAAATACAACCGGAATTTGCACGTTTTCAATAGTTGAAATCCTTAGCGTCCTGAGGCGCGAACAGCCACAGTCACACTTCTTAGTTTATTTTTAAAGCACAGAAGACTGGAGTCTATTTCTCATATATTATAGTCACCGATCACTTTGAACACATACACACACTTTGAAGCTTAGAAAACAAGCTTATCTCTTAATTACAGCCTCTGGGATTCCAAAATCACAAATTGAAAAGGTATGTTTTCTCAGCGTTTTGAGCACGAGTTGCGTCGATGCAGCAAGCAGCGGCGGGAGTAACACTACCAGCTACGTTGCCAGATTTCTTTGTTCACGGCTCGTAGTTGACGTCGGCTGTGCTTCAATGCTTGGAAATCGCGCTGGCAGCGCTGCATCGACACAGAAGGAGCCTATTTTGAAAGTTTTTAAAGAATTGTAACGATTGGCTCAATAAATTTTTTTGAATCGACTCAGTCCTATTACTTTCCGGACAAACCCTGTATGTTTATAGTAATCTTTTAGTTATTTTTGAATGTCCTTTCTGATATAAAAGTACTTACCTTCGGCATAACAAAGAAATTTCCTGCTCCGCTGGAGAGCTTTGAGAAATTTCTCGTGGCACTTTTTGGGAAAATCTGTAACTTAGGTTCAAACAACGATTGGTCCAGTTTGATTGAATTCGCTGTTGGCTGATTATTTTTCAATTGCTCAGATGGCTTCATCAGTTCAGGGTACAGATTGGGCATTGTTTTTCTGCGCCGCAATATCTTAAATGCCTCGTTGGTGTAGCCGAAGAAACCTGGTCCCATAGGATTCTATCAAACGAAAACAAAATATGATACAGAAAAAGGTAATAAAAGTAGAGAGTAAGTGATAAATAGTCTTGTGGTAACCTCAGAAAATGGACAGGAATGCCTTGTTAGCACAGTCGGAAGTGTTAACAATTCTAAAACTGCCATATACCAAATATTCTGGCAAATATAAAATTTTTCCTTCCTGTACAGTAAAAGGTCTTTGATTACCATAAGATTTATGGGCTCTCTGTATTTAATTTTCTAAACGGGTATTATTTTTACTGCGTATTTCTGTTCCGATCTATTTCCATATAATGCTGTCAGACTGTTTGTTCAATGAAAGAAATTACAGTCATTGAATTCACAAAATTACGAGAAACACTTTTACAACACAATATAATAATAATAATAATAATATTTATTCACTCAATGTACAAAGATAACAAACAATATGAGTAAATAAATATAAAATCAAAACAGGCCCAATAGAAGGCATCGCCTGTACATGGACCAATAATTTAAGTTGAAACTGTAGAATGCAAATGACAAAAAAGGACAAAAATTAGCTACAGTAGATTATGTATTTAGTTGATGTTCGTATTTATGCGTTTTTGAATTTCAGTCCTAGATATAGAATGAAGCCACTTTTTTTAAATTTCTTTTGAAACAATTTCCGAAACGTAAATCTTTTAAGTCTTTAGGTATAATTTCATAAAATTTAGGCGCTAAATAGAGATATGATCGCTGCATTATAGATTTATGCGGTTGAGGAACTACTGTGCCACGAATTTTGTACCTGGTATAATGATTATGTTTAATTTTTTGGTCGGTGTTTACAAATTTATGGTAGTGAGTGATACTGTGTAAGAAATAAAGCTGTCTTATATCATACATTCGAACATCTGCGTATAATTTTTCAGTGGGATAAAGTTTCGGTTTTTTAAATATCATTTTTAGAATACTTTTTTGAAAAACATCTAAATTATAGATATGTGAGGAACATGCAGCTCCCCATGCTAATATACCATATGTGAGATGAGGCTCAATCAGTGCATGGTATAATGTTCGAAGATATTTTTCTGTCAATATATTCCCAAGGTATTTAATTTTGTAGGATACAAATCTAACTTTCTTTAAAATATAATTGACATGCATGTCCCATCGTAAGTGAGGATATAAGACCACTTCAAGGTATTTTATGTTGGGCACTCTATTAATTTGCATTTTTTGATCATTAATATTGAAGGAGAAATTTGTGTAATTTGGCAGATGTCTAGCATAAGATCCAAATGGTAAAAAATGTGTTTTAGAGTAGTTAATGCTTAATTTTCTACTGTTAAACCACCGAATAATTTTGATAAAATCATTTTCAATTACATTTTTCAGATCAGACCAGTCAGTGCCTTCATATAATATTGCAGTATCATCTGCAAACTAGTTATTTTGCCAACACAATTAATTTGGAAAATATCATTTAAATATATATTGAATAACAGCGGACCTGTGTGACACCACACTTAATATACATTTCTTTACTAAATGATCCTGATATCTGTACAGATTGTGGGCGATTTGACAAATAACTTTCGATCAGTGAGTAAGCGTTTCCTCTGAAACCAATTCTCTCCAATGCTTCTAATAATAATTTGTGATTAACTGTGTCGAAAGTTTTCTTTAAATAAACAAAAATGCAGATTGAAGGGATTCTGTTATCAATATTTGATGTATTTGATTTACAATTTTAGTTATTGCGTCCGATGTAGCCTTCCCTTCTGTAAATCCATATTGATTTTCACCTAAAATTTTGAATTTTGTGAGGTATCGAATCATTCTAGTAGATAAAACTTTTTCAAAAACCTTTGCTACACTGGATATTATTGATATTGGTCTATAGTTGTTAACATCTGTTTTTGTTCCTGATTTATGTATCGGTATTATATTACCTTTTTTTAAAATTGAGGGATATATGCCAGATTCAAAGCATTTGTTGATTAGGTAAGTGAGTGGTTCTGTTATGTCCTCGGCTATAATTTTCAAATGCTCGCTTTAATACCATCGAACCCAGGACTTTTCCGATTTTTTAAGGACATAACAGTGGTGTATACTTCACATTGCTCGACTTTATCCCAAATAAATGAGTTCAAAGTTCTTTTTGGAGGCTGAGTATTTTGTACATTTGCTTGTATATTACTTGCTAAATTTTCGCCTATGTCAGTAAAGAATTGTACAAATTCATCGCATATCTGTTGAGTATTTTTTAATACTGTTCCCGATGTTGTATTTAACTCAGTGACACACTCTTTAAATTTTGTTTTCCCAGTAATCTCATCAATAGTTGTCCAAAGCCGCTTAGGATCATTTAAGTTATTATTCAATTTATTTAGGTAATGTTTTCGTTTGGTTTGCCTTACAAGCTCTATAAATTTATTTTTATATTGGTTGTAGCAGTCGGTATTCTCTGTAGTTGGCGTTAGTTTCATTACATTATATAGTCTTTCTTTTTCTATTGCCGATGTTATTAATCCTTTGGTAATCTAGGCATTTCTGCTTTTCTCGTTGTGACTAATTATTACTTTATTGGTACTAATATCTATTAGTTTTTTTATTTTCTCTATGAACAGTCCCGTTGCTTTGTCTATATTATTTATAGAGTATAATTGTTCCCAGGATTCTTGTTTGACATTTGATATTAGTTTTGAATTTTCGACAAAAATTTGTAATTTTCCTGGTTGTTATTAACGGTAGGGATGTTAGAATGTTTTTCATTTGAAGATATCAGTAAAATAGTGGAGAAGTGGTCAGTAATATCGCTTTCTAGGATTATTGGTATACAAGTAATTTTGTTGGATAGGTCTTTCACAAAGCAGTGATCTATACATGTGCCACTGATGGACCTTGTAGGTAGGTTTATATAGGACAGAAATCCGTTACTTGATAGGATATTCAAGTAATCATTATATACCTGAAATTATCGATAATGCCGACAACTACTTCGAACAAAATATGAATAATATGAATAAATATATTAGTGAAGCTATGATCAAGAAAATAATATATGAAAGAGTGATCCCAACACCCTGGTTTTCACAGATATTCAAGGAGTCTAAATTAAATGCGATAACGACTACAGAAAATTTTCAATAACCCAAAGTGAAAATGACTGGAAACAATATACAAAAGAAATGAGTGTGTAGCAGTTCTCCGGAGGGAAAACAAAAAATACTATGATAAGAAGATCGATAGCAATAAAAATAATTCCAAAATGATTTTGAAAACATTAACGGATATTGTTTATCCTAATAGAAAGACTGAATTATCTAAAATGTGTTTCGAAGTTGGGGTAGTGACAGACAAATTAATTATAGCAGAAAGAATGATCAGTGGGGGTGCCACAGGGGAGTAAATTAGGGCCATTACTATTTATTATTTATATAAATGATATCTCTGACATATTAGAACACTGCAAAATTCAAATATTTGCGGACGATACACACGATGTCAATAAACTTAAATTAAACACTAATAAAAATATAAGTATGTCAGTAGGGATTATCTAGGTGACAATACATTTAGGCTCGTGATTAATGATGAAAAAATTGAAGTAGGCAAGTCATTTAAATATCTTGGTAGTGGATAGTAAGCTACTGTTTCACGAACATTATGAATACATTATTTCAAAAACATCGAAAAAGATAAATTACTTCTATAGAGTTTCCCATAACCTTAGTGTGTATTCCAAAAAAATTGTGTATAAAACTATAATTCTTCCCATTTTTTATATTGTTCACCCATCTTGTTTACAGCAAATGAAAACATATTTTCAAAATTACAAATTCTACAAAATAAAGCTATGAGAATCATTTTAAATAAAAACAAATATACTAGGATTAAGTCTATGTTAGAAGAACTGCAGTGGTTAAACGTGAAAAATTTCATATATTATTTAGTTCTCGTTTTCATATTCAAATAAAAAATCATTTATTACCACCACATTTAGAGAACTTCACTAAGTTAAATAGTCATTATCATAACTATGAAACTAGAGGCAGTATAAGATTTTCATCTGCAAAATTGTAATATACTAAGTGACATATAAATCCGAACACCCAGTTTAAATGGTTTTGTTTTAATAAAAGTTGGTGAATGTATTTATCTTACTGTAAATAACAAGTGAAAAAATTTTCAGCGTTATCAGTTGGACTTCACTAACGCTCTAAAAATGAATATTTCAGCCGCAGTAAAGAATCAACGTTGGCGGATTTTGGTTCTTGACATCCTTTACGATCGGTTACGATGCCTAGAGTACGGAGACCTGTACGATTTCGTCAACTTAGTGAGTTTGATAGGGGCCGTATAGTGGGACTTCGGGAAGCTGGACTTTCTTTTCGAGCAATTGCAGTTAGAGTGCAAAGAAGTGTAGACACTGTGATTAGGTGTTGTCAGGCATGGCTTCGAGAAGGCCGTACGCAAAGAGCAAGGGGCACTGGACGCCGCCGTAGAACAACAGACCGTGAAGATCGCCGCCTAAGATTATTGGCCTTAAGGGACCGTTTCTCCACTACCAGGTCCATTGCAAATGAATGGTTTGCAGAACACGGAAGACCTACTGGCATGCGAAGTGTTTACCGACGAATGAGAAGTTTTGGCTTGTTTTCATACCAGCCACACTGGGTCCTCCCTTTAACTCGAGAACACCGACGTAAATCGCCTTGAGTGGTGCAGACAACGGTCACTCTGGGATCAGGAATGGAACAGTATTGTCTTTAGTGACGAGTCTCGATTTTGTTTAGGCATGCACGATGGTCGTGCCAGGGTTAGAAGGCGACGTGGTGAAAGGAGGAATCCACAGTTTTTTGTTGAAAGACATGTTCGTCACACTGTTGGAGTTATGGTTTGGGGTGCTATAGCTTATGGTTCCAGGTCACCTTTAATCTTCATCAGAGGTAACATGAACGCGCAGCGTTATATCCACGAAGTTCTAGAACCCCATCTTTCACCCTATCTTGACACCCTGGCAGATTCAACTTTCCAACAAGATAATGTCCGACCACATCTTGCAAGAGTCACAATAGACTTCTTTCAACATAATGATGTCACATTGTTACCATGGCCACCAAGATTTCCCGACTTATCCCCAATTGAGCACGTGTGGGATATGATGGGTAGGAGATGCTCAATTTGCAACGTCCTCCTCAGACTCTAGAAGCATTTCGAGAGGAGTTGGTGGTTGCCTGGAATGAGATACCACAGGAGGACATTGACCACCTGAGCAGAAGCATGCCTATGCGCGTTGGAGAATGCGTAGCACATCAGGGTGCATCCACACATTATTAAAGGTCAAAGGGCTTTAAAGCAGTGCAATAATTTTGGAATTTTTATCATTTACTTATTATGCTTCATTAAGTACTTATACAAATTTTATTAAATAAAACCATTTAAACTGGGTATTCGGATTTATATGTCACTTAGTATATTTCTGAATGCTTAGCAGAAGCTTTGGGGGGTTGAAATTATTTTGAAAAACATAGCTGTTAGTTAGTACTTACCGGAGTGCCCGACCTCAACCTAACGTACACGTCTGGTGGTTGGTTCTGATGAGAAATAGCCAAATGTGTATACATCACGCGGTGGACTGACTCACTCGTACGACAGTACCCGCACTGAAGCTCAGCCACACGATGGTAGTGTCGCCAATGTCCTGGTATGTCTGCGAAGTTCATCTGTAAGCTGCAGTCCCTGTACTGGCACTGGCACAGCATATCAACATGGTGATATTTAGAGATATGCAGAACAACTCGTCAAGGAACAGGACAAATTTGGAACACATTCTGCAATAAAAAAAGAAATTCTAATACATTCTGTCAAAAAACAACCGGCAATCGACAGAAAACATATATTTATGAAAATCGTAGCGTTGGAGGAGTTCTTGATAGTCTTTTGGTCATAGTCATTCTTTTTATTAGTGGGATGTGTAAAAAATTCAAACATTTTTGCACGGTAAATTGAATTTCCGACAGCATCAAGGTAGTGTTCAGACATTCTTCTAGAAGATAAAGCTTTTGAAAATAGTCGTACTTTTTCAGAGAACATTTTCCTATTAACTAGTTACAATACGCAAATCGGCGTTTTATTGAAGTCATATAACATCACTCCATCGTTGGTGATGACCAAATTTAAATAAATAGAATGACCCAGTCTCTTGGCAAGCTCACTGTCAGTTTACAACTTTAAGTGCTTTTATCGAACACAATCACCACAATCTTACTAATTTTTATAATCTAATCTAAAACCTTTTAAATTGGGTAATTATCAAACGAATGGCATTATGTTTTTCTAAGTCAAGCCAAAATTTGTAGTCAGTAAGTAAATTTCATTAAATTGAATATTTAAAAACACACATGACAACAGCGCGTCGGTCATCATCACTCTTATCGAACTCGTGAAAGACAGGTTACTGTAGAGCAGGAGGAACAAATTTTAAATATCGTGGAAATCAATGGAGATATCAGCACTGGGGAATTAGGTCGCCGCGTAAGACTATCGCATACCATACTCCATAGAATCCTACGGGAAAATTTGCTTTATCCCATGTACAACGAGTGCAGGCCTTGTTACCAGAAGACTATGCTCGCAGATTAACATTCTGTCAGTGGTTTTTGCACAAAAACATGAAAAATCCGGTTTTTCTTAAAAACATTCTAGCGACGGACGAATGTACTTTTACGCGAAACGGGATATTAAATGTCCACGGGGGGCCCCAGAAAATCCTCATACCATTCGTGAAGGACGTAATGAAGCTTGTGTGGAAACTGGAGGACGACATTTTGAACACCTTCTTTGAATACAAAAAAGTGCAGTGTGGGTTTAAAAAGAAAAACAATGTATGTATCCAATTGTGTTCCCTATTTATAAGTGGATTTTTTAATACGTTCAATAAACCTTCACACACCAGGTGAAGCGCTGAGACAGTTAGTGGTAGTCCGTTATTTTAACTGTTTGCATTTTACGAGTACATTATCAAATAATGAAATAATACCTAAGAGCCAAAAATAACAAACTCCATCTTTATTTACACTGCGTTCCGTCGCAATTTGCGGCGTTGTCAGATTTTGTTTTACTTTAAACTTGCTTTTCTCCAAAAAAAATGCCGTTTACACCCTGTAGAATTCAGATTGTCCTAGAACGAAAAATAGTCTCAAGAGTTTCCCAGCCCATTCCTGCCAGTGCATCGCTTGTCAAAGTCGCGGCGAGAAGCCTGGCGTTGCCACGGAGGAGAATAACATCCCTGATCGGTGCATGCATCGTCTGTTGTTTCTAAAGCGATCGGTGAAATTCCACTGGTAAAAAAAATCTTTTCCAAGAAAAGACAAGTTTTGGCCCTCACTGGGCAATTCTCCATCCTTTCTCCGTCACTCCTTTCTTACCAGTTTCGATGCGAGGGTGTGAATGAATGGATGAATGAAAATTGCATACCGGCCACCATGATTTATGCACCCCTACATTTCTAGCAAAGTTAAGTATATCCTTGAGTCCCAGCTCCTTATCAATCTGGGGATCCAAAGTGATGAACCCCAGTATAATCTGCCTGTAGTAGATCAGAGCTTCACAGCGACACATAACACGCGCCGAGGACTCTTCCTCTACCCCGCGGCGCTCATACATGGGATCCTCAACTACCCCATCTCATGCAGGTAGCACCGCGAACAACCTGAGGTCGGCTCTGTCCAAAGACAAGCAAAAGCGTCCATGCTCAACACTGGTCCCTACGATGAACTCCTTGCCTGACGGAGATGTCTAGAGATGCTTCTTAATTTCTGAGAGTGTTGTCTTGAATCCATTTTTCATTTTCCTCCTCTTTGCGCGGGCTCCCCTAGGGTGGCTCAGGACTAACAAGCTTGTTCGGTCCGCCATATCGTTGCCCTATTTGTCTGTAATGATGTACCCACGACTCATCACATGTCACGATACGATGCGCTTCTCGCCTTCTCGCTAATTTATTGTGATTATGCATTGAGTACTTCTGATGAAATGTATTCCAGGATTAACACGCGATCACGTTCAATAAGTTCTCTCGCCCACGTAAACACTCGATTCTGGGACATTGTACAGTCCATGAACTGTCCAAAAACACAAACGAGTTAAAATTTCCGATAGAGTAACGTCTTTGTTACCTATTTAAAAACTATCATAATCCGATAATATCAATAATGAATGTTTTGATATTATTGGAGAAAGAATATTAATCCTGATAAATTACTGTTTAAAATATGGCGAAATTCCAACAAAACTGAAGTGTTCTACCATAACTCCTGTTTCTAAAGTTAAGAATTCTGAGTTGAACACCAATATGCAGCCAATAAATGTTCTGCCAGATGTTGAAAAAGTTTTTGAAAAAATTATTTACGAACAGATCATCAAATTTATTGAGGGAAATAACTTTTTAACCAAATTTCAAGCTGGATTCAGGAAGAGACACTCAGCTGAAATGGCAACACAAATGGTTTTAGAGGACTGGAGGAGATGTATGGACAATAGGAAACATACAGTAACAGTGTTTTTGGACTTCAAAAGGGCGTTTGAGACTATTGACAGGGATAAATTACTTACAAAATTGCATCACTACGGATTTAAAGGATCTGTATTCAAAATTCTACAAAACTATTAATTGACAGAAGTCAAAATACCAAAATTGGATCTACATTATCAAGATCAAAAAATATTTCTGTTGGCATATCACAAGATAGTAAACTAGGTCCACTACTATTTATTTTATACATTATGTAATATTTTAGATTATTGTGAACTTCAGATATTTGCAGATGATACATTAATATACATATCAGATGAAAATATAGACACTGCTTTGAAAATGCTAAATTTTGACTTGACAAAAATCGTAAATTGGTTAAATGTAAATAAACTAAAATTGAATACTTCTCGAACAAATGTATGCTAATTAGGGAAATACCTAAATGAAAATACTATCATAGTTAGGATAAATGGAGAAATAATTTAAAATGTTGAATGAATTAAATATTTAGGTATATATATATATATATATATATATATATATTGATAGTAAACTAAAGTTTGAGGATCACTACAAATACATTATTGCAAAAATTGCCAAAAAAAACAAATTACTTTTATATTGCTTCTGATAGTATTCGTATCTATTCCAAGAAAATAGTTTATAATACAATTATTCTACCGCATTTACTATATTGTTCAACTATCTTGTTCACTGCCAATGAAGCTGTATTCTCAAAATTACAAGTCTTGCAACATAAAGCTATGAGAATAATATTGAATAAAAATAAGTACACCAAAATAAAATCTATGTTACAAGAATTGCAGTGGTTGAATATAAAAAATTTCATATCATATTCGGTTCTTATTTTTATATTTAAAATAAAAAATCATCTTTTGCCAGAACATTTAGAACGCCACATAGAATTGAATAATCATTACCACAATTATTATACAAGAGGAAATATAGATTGTCATTTACAAAATTGTAATAGTAATTTAACTAGAAAATCAATATTTCAGAAAGGATTGCTTGATTTAATAAACTAAATAATGACATAAAGTCTACTTGCAATTTAAAGATATTTAAAAGAAAATTACAGAAATATTTCATGGAAAATGAAAATTCATAGAGATGCCAATTTTGTTTTTTTTTCTAAATATGTGTATTATATGTAATTGTTTAGTTTTTTAGAAGAATGTAATTGTAGCAATCATGCTAAATAAACCTTAAACAAACAACAGACTAAATTTTCGCTTGGCTTTGAAACTTTTTCTTTGGCCGCTCCACAGAAAAAAATCGAGTGGATTTAAGTCAGGTGAACGGGGGGTTGGCCACCGCCATCGGGTATTCCACATCAAGATATTCTCTCAGTGAAAGGGCATAGTACGCGCCGCGCAGCCGTCTTGCTGGTACGACATGAGTCTATAAATACGTCTTCCAATACATTTAGTAAAGGGCTTTGTAAAATGTCTAAATAAATTCAAAGTCTACGTATAATGACACTGTCCGTCTAAGAAAAAAACGAAATTTGTAGTAATGGAAACTAAAACATCATTACAGGGTGTAAATATTTCCGATTTTTTCAAGTCCTATAATTTGAAAAGTACACCACTTGACTTTTTTATATTTTTCTGATAACTGTTCTGGATTGACGTTGGCTTGTGGTACACCTTGTATCAGATTCACCCCCGTAGTCTCAACTCATCTTACAAAATTTTCACACGCACTAAAGCAACTTACTCGGTAGACATTTGTATGGCATACAGAGCAGCTTGGCACTGATCTTCTGTTCAGCTATGGCAACTTCTTTCCTGTCTTAAGCGGGGGCAGAGCGAGCACAGAGTAAGTCCTTGAGCTACTATGCTCTTCATCCTGGTGGAGAAACACATATTCTCTAATCGCGGACCTGTATAAGCAATAGTTTTGCACGCAAATCGTGAATTTGCATGTCGAACGTCGATATGGTTAGGTACGTGTTTCCAGGGTGTCTTCATGTCGCAGTATACGCATGGCACCATCACGTCTTTATCAGTCCTGTGGCCCTATAAAAAACAGAGTACGATCAGTGTATAATGGTGCAGCAATTTGTGTTAAATAAATGGTCAGCATTTAGCGTTCAGTTTGTTGAGACTTTGAGGTGCAACATGTACGAGCAGTGACAGCTATCGGGTTTTCCAATAGGAACTTGACAACTTTGAACTTTGCCGGTGAACGCACCTTTAAATCAACTACAGAACTGTCAATGTCAAAACATATTCATAGTCATAGTCTAGTAAAAAAATGTGAGTCTACATATTCGCTGCTGGATGTTCCCGTACCATGTGACAATGGGTTGGTCGAAGTGCCGATAATATTGCGCCGTTCAAGATTCAGGTGCAAAACGAACAGAAACACGCCGTTCTCAAGAATTGGGCACCGCTCAGACTCCAATATGGCGAGTTTTGCAAAGAGATCTTGGCCTGTACCCTTATATAATAATAAATAATAATAATAATAATAATATTTATTTACTCAATATACAAAGATAACAAACAATATGAGTAAATAAATATAAAATCAAAACAGGCCCAATAGAAGGCATCGCCTGTACATGGACCAATAATTTAAGTTGAAACTGTAGAATGCAAATGACAAAAAAGGACAAAAATTAGCTACAGTAGATTATGTATTTAGTTGATGTTCGTATTTATGAGTTTATGAATTTCAGTCCTAGATATAGAATGTAGCCACTTTTTTAAATTTCTTTTGAAACAATTTCCGAAACGTAAATCTTTTAAGTCTTTAGGTATAATTTCATAAAATTTAGGCGCTAAATAGAGATATGATTGCTGCATTATAGATTTATGCCGTTGAGGAACTACTGTGCCACGAATTTTGTACCTAGTATAATGATTATGTTTAATTTTTTGGTCGGTGTTTACAAATTTATGGTAGTGAGTGATACTGTGTAAGAAATAAAGCTGTCTTATATCATACATTCGAACATCTGCATATAATTTTTCAGTGGGATAAAGTTTCGGTTTTTTAAATATCATTTTTAGAATACTTTTTTGAAAAACATCTAAATTATAGATATGTAAGGAACATGCAGCTCCCCATGCTAATATACCATATGTGAGATGAGGCTCAATCAGTGCATGGTATAATGTTCGAAGATATTTTTCTGTCAATATATTCCCAAGGTATTTAATTTTGTAGGATACAAATCTAACTTTCTTTAAAATATAATTGACATGGATGTCCCATCGTAAGTGAGATGTATAAGATCAAGTTAACTCAAGATTTAAAGCCGTTCGATCACCGACGTACCTTCTCGAATTGGGCTCTAGAAATGTTGCAAGAAAATGACCAATTTCATCGCAAAATCATCTTCAGTGATGAGGCGCATTTTTTGGCTAAACGGTTTCGTCAGGTGAAAGCCCTCATGTGCTTCAAGAAACATGAGGGTTTCAGATTATCTAAGCATGGACTTGAACCGCATTTTTCGGTATTTTCACCGAAATGAGAATATTTACCGAAAACGTACGAGTAATCTTCCACCAAAAATAAAGTTAAAAGTTAATTTTATGTAGTCTTCATAGTTTTATGCCCCACATCAATCATACATATGCATACATACTCAGGCAGTCGGGAATATGAGAGGCGTAGATTTGGGTTGCCTATGATTACGAACGCACATCCTCATCCCTTAATCCGCTTGCCCTGAATTAATTTCTTTGCATACAAAAGGTGCAGACTGGTAGATTACTGTCATTACCTCAGCACCGGACAAGCAATAAAGAAACCGAAACCTGTCTGTTTTCAAAATAAATATTTAATTAAAATGAGTTCATGAGTTCAGGGGTAAAACAGAAAATATTCACAATCCTATAAGCAGGAATCGAAAAAGGAATTTCCAGAATGGTTGAATGTAATGACCTTAAAGGTCAACTTCAAAATTTTAAATATAAACCCTATTTTCGACCTCGGCAATGAAACAAGCGACAAATTTTACGTTCTGATATGACCTTGGATGATCCTCATATTTGACCATGAATGATCGGAGGTGACTTAATATGTATTGGTGAGACCTATCAAATGTGAATTAAAGAACATAAGAGATTGGAAAACA